TCAGGAATTCCAACCGTCTTCCGAAATACATTGCACGAAGAAAACACGAGATTCAGTAGGATGATGGGGCCTGTTATTGCTTGGTCTTGATTTGTTCTTTAAAAGTTCGATTTTCCTGTTCAGTCCCAAAATGAATAGGGCACAACTAACTGCTAATTAATCTTTTTATGAAATATGAGAAAAATCCATCCAGTACTTCTCAGGAAATGGCGATAACAAACTTTCATTGCAAGATACAATATATTCACCAGTCAGCCATTATGTGATTCATCACTTCCAAAATCAAAAGGGCACAAATAATGACCAAGGGGTACTTTCATATAACATTTGAGAAAATCCATCCAGGTCTTTCTAACAAATAGCGAAAAACAAACTGCCTTGTGATCAGCTTTCAAATTTAACGAACACAACTAAGGGCCAAACTGAAATTTGAGAAAGACCTATCCAGTAATTCGCAAAGAATAACGATAAAAAAAGTATATTTATTGACGAACGGACGTGACACGGATCATCGTCTGATTATGAAAAAAGACAAATGTAAGTATTTACTTCCTTTAAAACTAATCATTAACACCACATCAATGTAGTTAATGTTAACTGCTCAGAGGTTATGCTATATTAACGAAAAATACTGTTTTAATATGGCCTGCCATTTAACGGTTTATTCAAATAAGACGTTTGATTGGCCACCCTATGGTGAACGTTGTAACCAGTAATGCAATACTTGTTAAAATCAATGCTATCGATTCTCAGGTTTGGTAGAGTAATTTTCTTTTTGTCTGGCATTAGAAGATTGTAATATGAGAATGATTATATTGATTAAATGCTGATCGACGAAACCAGACGATACATTTGTATCAGAATTGAAACAGGATCCAGATAGGTGATTAATAAGTTATGAGAAAGTAATGTTATACTTACACACTAAGTATGCGGATTTTTCTGAAATCGAATCTGAAGTGAAGTTGTCCAACTAGGAAGCAAGCACCTGTTGTTACAGCAATACCTATGCTAAATAACAAATTCAACCGTTCGTCTTGTGGAAAACAATTATCATCCACAGTGGCATTGATTTGGCCACTGCTGTTGTGTATATGAGGGATACAAAGATTACTAAACACTCCATCTTCTTTAAGAATATACACCAGTGAAAACCATCCAAATTGTAAACCACCGAACAGGAATATTTCTGTTAAACTAACCAGCACTAAAGCAGTTAGTCTGTATCTGTTCATGTTGAGAGCCATTTGGTTAGTATATCTATAAGTATCCGATGTATGACACCTTACTCGTTCACAGATTCAAATGTGATACGTCATTCAGAATGGCTTACGTGACTTTTGATATGGTAATGTTACTGTCAGTTTTCGTATACAGGTCAATGATCACTGCTACCGCTTGTTAGATCTTATAAAAAGGGAGCTTACGCTATGCAGCGAGTGTTTGTTTTTTGTGATATAGGATTATAAAAATGTAAGGATGACTGTTAGCTATTTATACGATTTTTATTCTGAAGATGTTGACTAATTTGATAACTAAAATCTAGTTTGTGTCATCGAGAGGATACAATTTTATTAACATACCATGTTTTACTTAATTTTAGACACAACTGATATTCAAAGCAAGAGATTGTACACGTTTGAGAACTGAAAACGCCTAAAATATGAAGGTTGTGATTGTTGTGAGGTTACTAAATATGCTTATAATGGGTATCAAAACAATCTGTTATCTAAAATCAAAATTTGAAAACAGTCATACACTTTCGATTAAAATACATTTAGATTTACAGAACTCAATGCGCCCACATTTTCACAGTTGATAAAATGAGTTGTAATGGACACCAGACTGGGAGCCGTCATTGACAATAATTATACCATTAAATTTTCTTTTTGTTACTTTCTGAAATGCACATTTAATGCTAAAATGACCGATCCAATCATAAAAATTATTTTGAGAATATTCGAAACATATTATTGCGTTTTTGGATACTTGATGGGTTGGCGTTATTCTTGACAACATGGCGCCATTTCAAATAACCTGATTTTCGTTGTATTCTATCATATCATGAAAAACAGAAATGTACACAGAAATTGCTTTTGATGGAAAACCAACTGATTCAACCTTCGCTTCATTTTCGTCCGAATAGGAAAATCGAGAAATGTTATTGCAGTGACTCGAAAGCACCGCCCTGGTTGTTAAAAAAAAACTACCAATGTTTTATCATCACCGGACAAGTGATGAAATAATATTTCGTATCTCATCACTGATATAAAGTTGTTGAAATAAATGAATAAATTCCTGTATTTCACTGCCAAAAATTTTATTATATTTAAGTACACGTAATGACATATTATATAACTTTTTTTGTTTTACCGTTAAAGCCGCTTTAGTAAGTTATCTTTCTCTGTAATTTGACGCTTGCTAACATTCTAACACACCAGGGACTGTTATCTATTCTATTTACTTAATCCTCTCTTTTGTTTTCCTTTTTATCTCTCTTTCCATACATGTTTCCTCTGCAGCTGTTTGGCCAGATAATCATCCTTAAATGATTTTTGCTGAGAAAGGTTAGCAGATAAAAAGTCATAGACCAGAAAAATAGAACGATGTATCGCTTATTTTGGTGCCAATTCACTAAATACATTACTTCTTCCTTAGTTTGGCTTTAATGATCAATCATGCTTCAAAGTTATACATAACGGAAGTACGATTTATCTTTATACAATAGCCACTGTATTATCATTCAGTTTACGTGTGCAGAAGCAAAACCATAACCTGAAAAATGAGTTGAAACAGTTTATGCTTTAGATAGGAGTCGATCCGAATTAGTGGTAAGGTTAATTTTTTGCCATGGTTCAAATGTTCCAATATACCGAAACCTCTAATCAATAATGATAGAAATCACAAATGTAATTTGTTTTATAGATATATATCTTGTGCGCAATTTAATGCCATTCTTGAACAAATTAAATCACTTCAATAGATTCACTCTGAATCAATCAATGAAGATTATTGTATTGCAAAAAATTACTTAAACGAAAAAAGTAACAGATTTAAACAGAATTTACTTTTCACCGAGGAATATCAATGTCACTTCTCAGTTTCATAAGGACTTACACTAAAATCATTTATGTTATGATTGAAAAACAGTGCAGAAACCTACGTTTTATCCTTTCCAATTATATTATTGTATACGTACTTAATTTCAGTGCATAGATCTTAATGTATTCTTCTGATACACAATGTTTAGGAATGACAGTATATGTAGTACAGAAAAGAGGAATTTCTCATAAAAGTATTCAGTTGTTTCATTTACATTCTGCAAATTGATTCACGCGATAGAAGCTCAGCTTAAGAAAGACGAAGGCACAGTACAACATAATATTATTTATAAAGTTCATGAAAATATTGAACGTCTGTCAGATGGCTTTCTTTAATAATATGAATGCTAACTGGATAATGGCAAATACAGTGAAGGGCTTATGTTGAAATTGTCTAAATCCAGTTGGCATTCATATTGCCCTTAATATGGCAAAATGACAAAATAAGATTGTTCAATGCTTACAATTATCATATTTATTTGTCATCTTATTACACGGGAAAAAATCGAACTTCTGTCAGCTGGCCTTCACAGCAATATGAATACCAACTGGATACAGGCAAATACAATAAAAGGCTTACATTGGAATTGTCTACATCCAGTTGGCATTCATATTGCCCATAAATCCAAACAGAAGACATTCCAATATACTCACAATTATAATTTGTTAATTGTCCTCTTATTGTATGGGAAGCAAATTTAACTTGTTTACTTAATTGAAAAACCACTATGCAGTTGGCAATTCACGCACGCACGCACACACGCACGCACGCACACTCACACACTATCCAGTATCGTGTGCACAGCTTTGCGGTTTGATACAGAAGTAATGTAAATAATATTTCCTTTCTTGTAGTTTTAGATGATTCATTGTCAAGACAAAAAGAGGCGTCTATTTGTTATTTTCCTGTATGATAAATATAATTATTGTCTTTACACTGAGGCTGGTCACATGTGGCACTTTGTAAACAAAACACTTTGAATTATGATTGAACCTAACTAGTTAATCTGTATCTGATAGATCTACGTGTCCATGCTATATATTCATGTCTTAATTATGAAATATACTTTTATTTGTATTCTCATATATTAAGGAAATAAATATATCCTATCCCTCATTTATCTATAAGTCATTTCTAAATTTATATCAACCACGATAGCATTGCACAACTTGCGCACAAATGTCCGATAGCTTAATTCGCCCAGTTTTCCTATCGTGCAGACGTCGTGCGCACATCGCATATCCTGTAACGCTGTGCTATCTCATAACTGTAGATAAATATATATATAAACGTATAAATATCATTATAAACCATTGGAACTATTTACTAGAAAATGTAGATGGACAATACATAGCTGATCCCATGTTTATCGCCTGCTTGTCGAGACGTCAGCAAATAGTCTGACGAAATTATAAATCTGTTTATATGTATACACATTTATATATATATAAAAAAAAACGAAAACCAATCATTAGATACTTCTGTAAGCTAAGGTTGAACTGTCAGAATTTATCAATATAACATCAAATATATTGTCTGGCTACAGATAAAGATCTCATTCCAAAAGATAATCGTACTGTCTTGAATGTGTCCTTAAATACGGTATCTAGCACCTCTCTAAGTAAAAGGTTGAACTGTCAAAACTTCTCAAAACATCATCAAATATATTGTCTTGATACAGATAAAGATCTCATTCAAAAAATATAGTCGTACTGTCTTGGATTTTGAATAAAGTACCCGGCACCTCGCTTATTCCAAGCATTCAAAAACGAAATATTCGGATTAGTTAATCTCTACAGAAATTTGAAGAAAAGTAAACTGATTCGGAACCTTGTCTGTTAATAATGTCCGCTGATTTCAAGATAATTTGAGTTTTTAAGATGTGAAGTAACTCTGGATCAAGGACACGACATCCGGATGGCCCCAACAGTAAGTGGTATATCTAGTTTGGTCACTAAAGGAAGTCCAGCGTCACTTCTGGCAGAATTGATGGCGTCTCGCAGCGCTAAATACACTGATATGGATAATATGAGAGGGGGCTCACCGATTCCCTGCGGATATAAAACGCTTGCATATCTTATGTTGTTTATAGTATATACTTTAAGATGAAAAAAAACAAGATTTACATTTAAAATGATATATGTCCATGTTTTGGATACATGAATATGAAAGACATAATACTCATGTTTATGCGAGATATGATCACTGTAAAAATGCTCTAATGGAAGGGAGATAATCTGATTAGACTTACATCCTTAAAGGCAATGATTGATCCAAAATAAAGATTTAAATAGTAATTCATAGCTTTCATGTTAGATCATATGGATTCTGCTAACCTTTGAAGAATACACAGCTCGCTCATTCGGACAGTCCTTTAAGAGTGAGACTCTGAACTCTCTCGGAATACCTTTGACATTTGGGATCTTGTACTCAACTGGACCTGAAACGTTATATTGTCCATCTGGTTCCACTCGAATTTCCTCTGTTGTCATCCACCCGTATCCCTGTCAGCCAAAATGATAAGAACTAAACACTTTATCTGTGCTATAATACTAAACCGTGTACGATAATAGATGTCTTATCGTAGTGATATTGTTATAATACTGAACTGTGTACAATAATATTGACATTTTTGTAATACGACCATTAGTACTATAGCCGGGTTTTTAAAGAACATTATAGATTTGATACAAATGTAGCCTTTGACAGAGGTCGATACCTTAATGTGATAACTCATTATTAAACAATTAATGGAGGAACATCACATTTCAAAGGTTAACAAATCCCTGTATTAACCGAAAAAAGGTCAATAACTGTTATGACATGGCACATTTCCATCTAGAATTCTGCCAGAACAAAAGAAGTCAATATTTCAAATCTGTTGATTTTCCTTTTTCCGACAAGTAATCACGGAAATATCACATAGCAGATTCTATGGCACGGATGATGCTTTTGGATTTTTTGTCGATTAAAAGTTTTCGTTTATCTTCCTCAGACACTGAAGTAACTCAGCTTTCATGACAACTCCAGCGCTGGTCGCCTGCTAAGGTTGTCAACAGATAATGCTGCTTTCTCATTGGTCGAAAGTACATCGCGTCATGGAAATTCCCTGTTACTGATTTTGGACTATGTAATCAAATTGCAATTTTAACCTCTCGTGCAGGAATTCACCGGTTTCATGTGAACATTGTATATTGCCGAAACCTTCGGAATACCTCAGATCAGAGCCAATATCACAGGTGAGGGATTTTCTCAATCATATAACCAACGATCATATTAACCGAGGTGATATGGTCCAATATCACAGATTGGTATATCTACGAGAACGCAGAAGGCAGTTGATACATGTTACAAACCTGTACAAAAGCGCCCTCTATCTGCCCGATGTCTATTCCAGGGTTAAGACTTTTCCCGACATCCATCACTATATCGGTGCTCAGCACCTGCCGGTGAAATACCAGATGTGTTTGAAAAGATTGTTTAATTCATTATCATCGATAAACGATAAACTTGCTTAAACACAAATCGCTTCCTACCTTTTCTACCGTTTCTATGCTAACAATACTGACGACATGACGATCACGTGATGGATAACCTTTGCTGTATCTTAAATCACACATGTTTCTGGTTAGTTTACATAGTGATATTGTCTTGCAAATGTAATTATATAGTATTATTTAGCATACTTTGTGTTCTCCTGTCAAACAGTCAACCTCTACTGCGGAACATCCGGCCCCATATGTGTAGTAGTGAAATGGGTCGCCTTCCCCCTTCTCGAAGTCCCAGTGGTTTGTACCTATCCTTAAACGGGAAAAGGTGTTTATAATGAACCTGAAGATAGCATTAGGTTGACAGTTAAGATTATCATGCTTTTCTTTTTAGCAATTATATAAAAAAAAATAATTGATAATATTTCAAAACAATTTTTAAAACAGATATCTAAATTGCTTTTGTGAAGTCCTCTTCATGAACAAAATATCTCTTAATGTTTTTTGATGATCAGAAAAATTACATATATTAACTCACCGACTGTAACCGGTAGCTGACAGGCTGATCCGTTCAAGAAAGGCTTGAGCAAGCTTAATAATCAAATATTGAAAGTTGTAATGAAAAATAGAAACATTTAATGGAGCGATATACAATCTTAGATTTTCGGAAACGTTTACTCAAATTATTAATGTTTTGGTGATTCATTTGGATAAGACTTATAATGTACACAACTAACATTAAACAGTTTACGAAATCGGATTCGTGGATATTGAGTACCCATGACATCAATGAAAACAAATGAAACACGAAAACTAGTTTAACATGAAACGTTTTTCATTACAAATTATTTCTGCTTTCAAATAGCTCAAAGATATTCCGATGGACGCCGAAGGCCCTTTATAGCGGACAAAAACATTCCAAGCTGTTGTATAATATATATATAACTTGATTTTACCAAATCGCTCCAGGATATGTTTGGATGTTTCTCACTAATAGGCTTCAGTCTTTTCACGATTTTACTGCAAGCATCCTATGAAATGATCATATTTATAATATAAATTAGATTCAATGTAAGTATGCTAATATTTGTCACGGATTGAGATTAACGTTAACAACACCTATAAAAATGTGATATTTTCAATAATCGTTCTCTGCACATTTCTTCTGTATTATGTCTTGTTCATTCATGTTGACGGTACGATAGTCTTGAAGGATCATCAAAAGGCAATTTTCTTGTGACACCGTAAGATTTTACATGTGTTTCCTTATCAAGAAACAATTAAATACCTTTTTGTGAATTTAGCTATCTAGTGGAAATATAAATCGCTAAGTTCCGTATGAAAATAAAGGTATCTCAAGGAAATATTTAAGAACAGAGCTATATATAGAATATGTACAGATAAGAAACAAATGCTTTACCAGTACGGCCTCTCCGTAAATGTCTGAACAAATGCTTGCTGCTGACGATAACGAATTCGGTATAATGTTGGTCCCAGTGTCGCAGATATGAATGTTGGATATAGGCACACCAAGGGCTCTCGAAGCAACCTAGAGCAGGTTATAACAGTTATAATAACGTTCATAATTCTCGAAATCAAACTGGTCTTGATAACTCAAACAATTAGTATTTAAACAGATTTGTATTTTAATATTGACACAAAATACCATTTACAATTTATTTATAGAATATAGACTGCTTTATAACGTAAATACAATTTCTTTTAGAACGAAATCATTGATTTCTTAAGATCAATTGATACACATAATAGTCTATAACTACAAATAACGTATCTTGATAAGATGCATGTTAATACACGACAAATTTGGTCAATAATAAAGATATGTACATAATTAAGTTTATAACTTTTTTGCATAACTTTGCAATTAATTCACTACAGTTTCAGTATTTTATCTTAATGAAAAATAATGTCAGAATTGCAGAAATTTTATCAAAAGAAATATTCACAGTTATAAGGTTCTCGTACATTTGTACGTCCCAGGAGATTCTCAAATTCAGCGTAATACGGTGCGTAAGTAATCAAAGTCATTACACAAACATACTTGTATCATTTTGGTATGTAGACCTTGGCCCATCTCAACACCCCCGTGTGATATTAACACTGATCCATCAGTATACACATTCACTAGGGCACTACCCTGGTATTAGAAAAATATAGCATGCAGTCACGTCATTGGATTAGACATCATGTAACGGATATTATTTTCTTTTTATAGCATGTGATTTTATTCATGAACATAGATACGAAACACATTATTGTAAAAGAATTGGTGGAATGATATGGAAAACATCTTACTTGATTGTATTCTCGAAGTGGCACAGAAATGCCAGCTTTACACGGCATCAGCGCTATTCCTCTTTTTCTCCAATTATGTTGTCTGCAACACATGTCATAAGCGAATCATATAATCGTGCTGTTAATATAAAACAGTCCATATGAAATAGTTGCGTGTCTCCGGATAAAAATGTTTGAATTAAAAAGAATCACCCATTAATAAAATTTGCCAGCAAAATCGTGATCGTGATCGTTTTACGACAAACAATTACAAGATGTCACTGGTTCGAGATGGAAACGTCACACCAACTACACAGATACATACCAGTTACTTGCACGTAAGCAAATGCTTCAAGCAGAATGTACTGTTAATAACATTAAGATTTAAACCTACTTGTTATACTGGCTGATTTCTTTTTTCTTCTCATCGTAGTTACTTTGAATTTTACACTCTTGCACACATCTGTCAAGATTGCAGTTTGTCAGCACCTTCCGGTAGTGGGTAGTATCTCCTTCGTGGTACAAATTCATTGATCGGATCTTTAAAATACGGATACCAGAATATGATTCGGAAAGTTATTACAACTTTGATTAGTTTGTTAAGACATTACCGATATCCTATAAGATATGCTTTCTCATATTCCCCACTTTTCAAATATTTTATATATTTCTCAGTGTAAAGTGGGATGTGTTAGAAGATCGTGAGTTTACCTTCTTCCTTCGTTGTAATAAACCGAACTTTCATCATAAATTGTGTGTTAAAGTGAACAAAAATTCAAATTTATTATATAGCTTAAACCATTAAATGTTCACGAAGTTTGATATTTAAATGTCGAGGACAAAATAAACAAATGCAGCCATTTTGTTGCATCTTTTTCGATGACACAACAATCGATTTTTGACTAGTGCAGCTAATGAAAACATTACAGAGGTTATATATAAGTGGCATGTATTCAAAAATATTATAAGGACGAATTCACTTGATAACGGATGGATCATGTAACAACGGGTACATGGCGAATCATAGTATTTATTTGTATCATGTAAAAGTAGAACATACACTATCTTTGTTTCATATTGCTTGTGGCAGCACGTATATTAAATATATCATTGACGTCATAACTAAACGTCAGAATTGAAATTGATTAAAAACCAAATATAATTTGTTACTGGTTTTTATGATAATTGTAAAACTTCAGTAACGTTCAACGATTTGCGTCTACTTCTGATCAGGTATACTTTCAAAAAAATATTTATGGTTAAATTTAGACACTAACCTAATATTACGGTTACATTTAGATAACTATTCTTACTTACGGGGTCTTATAATAAACTTAATTTATCATAGAATTTGGTCCGGTTACGTATTGTACATATAATGTATATGTCATGATTAATGATTGAAGTGATAAGTGAAATATCAGCAAAAACACCAGAAATTTGACACCTTTATCAAAATCAATAAAAAGCTGGTAATTAGATATTAGGGTATCCAAATATCTCGAAAATCAACTTTGAAGTTATGTCAACATTGTAAATTTTGAGTCGGAAAGTAACTTCGCGGACTAAAAGTCAACAAACAATCAACTTGTGAACAAGAATTGTAAATAAATAAGAATGGCTCTTTCTATTGTAAAATAAACATGAACTTATTTTGTTACCTCCTCGGGGGATATATTCAGCGATTCTGCCACCTCAGCAATGATTGATTCGATCATAAAAGCTCCTTCTGGAGCCCCAAAACCTCGGAATGATGTATTGGACGGTGTGTTTGTCCTGCAGATATGTCCTTCTACTTTAAGGTTTGGAATATTGTAGCTACCATCGACGTGAAACATGGCTTTGCTCAGGACCTCATGAAATGTAAAAACAAAAATGCATGGTTGACAGTTTAGGTATCACTAAAATGTTCGATAATTAAATGATCTTAAAACTACAACGGAAATTACGATACACATTCAAAACAAGTTTTGAAGAGGAAAGAGTGATATTTAAAATCTTGAGGATGTGTGTAAGTTTCCTATCTCGTGTTCATGCCTTTCACTTTGTTTTTGAGGGTTTCATCAGCTGTATTGTTAAAATCCCAGTTGTTTTTAGAATTCGTCTTAATTCACATTGGCTTTTATCCTGTTTCATTTTGAATAAGTTCATAATTCTTCAACAATTAATCATTGCTACGTTAAGAACACAATTTGATTGAGAATTCAATATCTTAATGCAATTCGTCATCTAGGTAATAGATATAGGAAAAAACATACTCCCGCTGTGGTATCTAGCGAATATCCAGCATCAATGAAAATTTGTAGTTGAACTGCTTTCAGCTGACCGTTATTATTGAACCCTACCTGTTAATTAAATTTTTTAAAGGTAAGAAACATGGCAGACTATACACTTGACAAGTCGTTTTTAGCTCTGTACGTTTAATTCAGTGGTCCAATATACTGTAGATATGTGTTAGCATAGATGCTTCATTCATTCAATTCAAACTCAAATTCGACGAAGCATTAAACATATTTTTTTACAAAGAAACAAGGCCCGTCAGAGACGGGTTATGCTCCCTGAATGGGAAACATTTAAGTGCAAAAAATAACAAAGGGCACTAACTCCTAAATCACGCAAAACATAGCGATTGTTCTGGTACACTGCACTTTTCCTTGAAATTTATCTACCTATGAAGTTTCATGTTGAAACTTCTAATAGTTTCTGTCTTATGCTCCGAACAAAATTTAAGTATGAAAATAACAAAGGGCAAGAACTCTTATGTTACGCACACGAAAGTGATGGTGATGGTGCACTGCTCTTTTCTTTGTTTTGATATATCTACCTATGACAATTCATGTTGATACCTCTTATATTTTTTGTGTTATGCTCCGGAAAAAATATAGTGGATTGTCAAACGCACGGCAACGCTGCGACTATATACTCTCCCGTCGAAGGCATAAAAGGTATTAGAGAACGCCTAAAAATATACAAGGTAATACGACCAGATGTTCCGAAAGAGTAAGCGTCTTTTGCTTCATCAAAGACAACCGTATTGCTAATTTTGGTCAACCCAAGGCAATAAAATTAAATGATTGTTCGCATCTTAAGCAGTTTTTTAGAAACAACGATATGATTAAATTTGAACAAGGTAATGCATAAAAAGTAAATATATACATGATCTATCTATCATACTTTTCGGTGATGTTTGTGGAACATCCATTAGAAATTCAGTACATGTAGGCCAAAGTTATTTGAAAGCAGGAAATACGTGCAATAAACTATTCAGACGACAACATTAAAACCAATACTTATTCATAAACTAAGGCATTTTAGATTTGTACGCTATGTTTTACATTTTCTAAGTAATGGATCACTAACTTTGTAGTCTGCACGCATTGGATGACGTTTTCCACTTATCATGATATCCTTGGATCTGTCCAATACACATCGAGCAGGTCGTTTCGTTCTGGTAATATATCAGAAAATAAATATATAGGATTTAACTGTACCAGTTAGAGTAAACTTGCGATATATGTTAATGATAAAGCAAATTTTAACAAATATTATCTTTCTTTTCAAAATGCAATCTTTAACATATATGTTGCTTCACTTAAATCTAAAGGAAATGTTTTTCATATTAGATGTATGTTTATGTGTTTAGCAAGAAAGAAATTTCAAAATCGTGGAATCATCTTCGTTGGATTGAATATTTCATTGTATAGGTTATTCATGTATTGTTGCAAACGAACACTTTAAACAAGTACTAACCACAGTTATAACATTACATTTCTAAATTAATCATAAAATCAATTCATTGGAAATAACTGCTTTCTAAAGTGATAATAACTTTGATCTGAACAGACAGCGTGATGGTCGTTCTTTGGATCATTTAATTTTCAATATGCAAAATTAATTGTTAGATTATTGAGTTTCGTAGCAAATACATTAAGAAATATTCTTTTATGATTTAGTCATTATTACGATTCGTTTATAATATAATAAGAGCATTCATTCGATATCAAACTTCACCTGTACGCTGCCACTGCTGCAGGACCTAATGCGTACATCACTCGGAACTCCTTTCCCCCGAATCCACCGCCTATAGAAAACATCCCTTTTAAAAGTTAGTACGACTATAAAGACAACAACTAGATCATAAATTAAAACAAAACAAAAACATTAATTAAATCAAGTATTTATTTCATAACTAAGAAATGAGCATAATTTAATCAAATCTGTAATTACAAGTATGCCATAAATGTGTAATATAAAATTATAATTAGTTATTTATAGATTTACACTGAACTTGAAAGATGTTTCCAATGACATTATACCTCATTTATATATATATATATATTTATATGTAAAACTTCAGTGTAAATTTCTCTCTTCTGACAACATTTTGGATAACGTTTTAATTGCAAAAAAAAAACGGTCGAATAACAAATAAATAGATAGGTACATAATGGGGTAATCGACTACATAATACATTCAAATTATTCTGTGATTATAGGTTTGTGTTAATATCTTTAAAACACTGCTTTATGTTACCATCAAATAGCATAAACACTCAACATAGTTTGCTGAATGATTGCGTTTGATCCCATTTTAAACATATTCCAAATATTCTGACGTTATATCTAATTTTTTATCGATCTTGTGTCCAGGAACGTCAGAACTCATGCCCTGTAAAAATAATGTTGATGGAAATTAAGGAAGAACCTCCACTATGCGACTTGACTAGATCTCACATTGTTAGAATTACCGCATACTTTATTATCCGTGTCTACATGTACTGCATGCTAATTCTAAATTTGTATGGAAAGGTGTAATTGAATTGTATGTCTTTTTGTACAAAGTTCGAAATGGCAGGTGGTAGACAATGATAGTGGACTTCTTGCAGTAACCCTCTGCCACGTTTTAATTCATTAGCATAGTGACATTATTTTCATGTACTTGATGCTTGTCTGCAATTATCAGATATATCAAAATATCTCATTTATTTTATCACGAGGCAAGTACACATGCTTATCTAAATTTTGAGGTATGCTTTCGATCAAATTTTATTTTCCACATTCAACCCCATGTTTCAAAAATTGGTATCACTGACAATCCTAGAAGGACGAAACCGTTATAGTTAGTGATGCGCTTAATTTTATCATTTGGCGGTGATGTAAGTGATGTAAGAACAATGTATTTACCATTTCTGTATTTTTGTACATTGTTGATAAAGTGACTGGGTGGATAGAGAAGTGAAATTGAGAGCAAAGCCCATTGTTGTTTACTTTATCGACTGCACATGTGTAAAAAGAAACTAGAGGCACGTAACTAATACAAACGTAAACTAAAACAGCTTAAGATTGGGAAAAATGAACGTCAGTGAGTGAATGCTTATTATAAGATATGTCGTTGCTTGAAGAGCACACAGACCTATAGATCTGTGTGAAGCATTCATGAAAATGACGTTATCTTTCCACAGTTATTGCATGAATCGCTCATTGTTAATGTCTATGACGTTCATCTACTTCGGACCGATACAAAACGTCAATAGAACGTCATAATAATTATGACTACAATCAAATATGCTTACCCAGTCTTCTTGTCCTGACTGTTATACGGTTTGCCGGGATGTTCAAAAACTTTGAAATCGTCCTCTGTAAAAATGTAGGTAATTCATTTTCAGTTACAGAAAAATCTACGCGAAATCAATATCTTTAATCCTAATGAGGAAATTTTAAAAACGTTTTTAAATTAGCAATGTTGTATATCAGATTGTTTCGGGAACAGAAGCACAAACCTAGTGTTCCAGAACTTAGTTAAGGCTTATTCTGGGCATTGTTGAAAACAACTTCCACAATTATGCTGGTATATAGGACATACAAGTCCTTAAGGGAAACACTCTGCTTTAATCATATTAAATATAGATTAGATTTGATTACAAACAATTATTGTCAACAATTCTTTTTTTCTATATAGTTTACGAATACGTTACTTGACAAAATCTTTGAGACTGGGTTGAGACGAATACTTCTAATTCATCTGACTCGTGAGGGACAACTATGGCTGCTATCGGTTCCATGTACATGTGTTCCTGATATCCGGATTGTATCACACCCTCCCGTATGTGATCACACTGATCAAATTCCCTCTCAGGATCTCCAGATACCAGTGGTTTAGATTTGAAAGGCAAAACAGATCCCTTGCCAATGGCGTCCTTTTGATACGACGAAAAGAAGGATACATAAAAATAAAACAGAGGGTGACATATTGTCCTATGATAAAAAATCCTGTTAAGAAGAATTGGGAAACCTAATATTACTTTGTGACCTGTATAACATCAGGAATTATCTGATGAATAAAAAGGTTACTAAACAAGTAACTGTTTTCATGTTGCTATTGGGTCTTGTGTAATGGTCCTCTACCAACAGTTACAAACTCGAATTTTTTGCTTTAAACTTTTTTACAGCCCTATTGATAAAGTACTATGTTTTCCTTACGATATCAGCAAAGACGTTGATGATATGGCCATGGTCAAATGTCCAACATGTCAACATGATTATAATCCAAACTCAAATTTGTTAATACTTTGGCAAAATTAAAAAATTAAATTAAAAAAAAGATTTACACGGAGACTACTGAAAGTACTAGAATAGTAAGACGTAGTCGCGGTCAATGTTATCCGTGTCAGCCAATCAAATATTTTTAGCTGAAATCGCGTGTAGATTCAATTATTGTGATAAACATTAGTTGTAAAGATTTATTGATACGTGGAGAGTTGAATGACAAACGTAAATCAAATTTGCATTAACAAAAGGAACATTGGGCCATCACTCCGTTTTCTACCGAAATGAAAGTCGACGGATTGAAATGCACTGTTCCCATTGGTCAAAACCTAAAAGATATCTTATCATTGGTAAATGTATTTTGATCACTTTTCCTTAATGCCACAGTTCTCTGGAACATATCATTAGCTGATGCATTCTTGTGTCAAATGTAACGTCACTTTAGTGGAAAATAAGGATTAATCTCTTAATGAGGCCAAGTCTGATAAAAATGATCATGAATAAGGAATAAGTATTCGAACAAAATGCCAATGATAGAATTATCGCTGGAATTGAAACATGTCGCATAAGATATCACAAAAACACAGCTGGATCTCATGGTAAATATAAATAAAAAGAAGTATTTTTCTAGTGCCATGCTATGGTGGACATCACAAACAAAAGAAGACACAAACGACACGGCTGGTTGTACGTATCTTCATTCTGGTGCTGCACCAAAATAATTCTGTGACGTAATTTTTATAAACGATGCAATACCTATCTGGTAATGCTGATATATATATATATGGTTAATACCTGCAGAGTCAGAATAGCAGGAAGGTCCTCGTAATGGATTTCCACAACGAGTGATGCTCTACTCGCTGCGTCTGCTGTCTCCGCTAATACTGCACCCACTGGTTGCCCGTAGTAGTGTACCTTAAATTATACATGAAAAGACACATTCTGGAAGTATATCTAGAACTATCACCTACTAATTTGTCAAAAACAAAACAAAAACCAAAAACAAAAAAGGTAGAAATATCCTGATAATTGAAATGTTTGTTGTGACTGTTTATAACATTTACCCTATATGTTGCTTTCCTATTTCTTTGTAATCACCTTAAGTAAAATTGCGACGTAGAGCAAAAACTGCCGTTTTATCTACTGATATTGAATCATTGAATGTATAGCAATTACAGGCTATTGTCACATCGTTTCATTTACAGGTCACAAATTCTTCTTTCGTAAATCAAATACATGTATATAAAAGATAACATTTGCTGGAGGAGATTAAAATAAACATTAGCTATTTGTGAAATGCGAGATGGTTTGGAAAAAACGTTTAAGATATGCGTTGTTACGCACGCACATTGTCAGTACAATCTTTGTCTCATTGTCGTTTGTTTTGTACATTATCATTCATAATAATCGAGCATACCTCTGATGTTGCAAACAGTACGTCGTCTTGAGCTGAAACTCCCCATTCGTTCGTCCCAGGTATCCAACTCGAGTCCATATAGTCGATGTAACCAGGGGTCTCTCTCGCTTTTGTTAAATTTACTGACACAATCTTGGCATGTGCTTTTGTACTGCAGACAAGTTCCACCCAAATCTCACCTGTATAAAGAGATTAAGAAGACCCTTACGCTTTATGCTTCTAAAGTATAAGAATTTAGCATACTAAAATCTACTAATTATCAGTCATATAATCACTGCCTAACAAACTCATCGAATAACCTGTAAACATTCAGGAAGCAATTTTATGACATTAAATGTGGGATTTACTTCCCTTTCATCTTTGGTCTTGACTACTTTCTACAATGTACAAGGTAATTACTTTACAGTCATATGTTCAATTTCAATCATAAACTGTTACCAGATGAGTATACAGTTGCTATGATGCCAATTCTCTCGTGGTTGATATAAATTTAGAAATGACTGATAGATAAATGTGAGTTAGGATTAATTTATAGTCCAAATTGATAAGTTTGCAGCTAAGTATATTTCCTAATTAAGCCACGTATCTATACGTTGGACACATATAGATCTATCAGGTATACACTGAATAATTATTTATACTTATAATCTGGAGTTTATTCCTTACGATGTACCATTCGTGACTAGTCTTACCTATACATTATAGATATAAATATTGAATTGACGTCTCTTTTTGTCTCGGCAATGAATCTTCTAAAATCCAACAGTCAGAGAGGGAATTTTATTTTCATTACTTCTACATTACTTTTTTATCATTTTGCAATCAAAGCATATTCTCAGGTAAATCATAAGTGCCATGCTTGTAACAGGGGAGACCTAGCCGATACATATCCGGACCTGTCACGTATATATCCGTATACATTTAGTATCTGTTGTCCGAGACACACCATTTCTCCCTCTCTGCGGTGTGATATCTATTACACGCTAGACCAATTATCACATGGTCCAGTGTCATTTCGAAAGCTGTCGTATCCAAAATTACCTTTATAATTACAGATTACCATATACCGCGCCTATGATCGCTATTTAGCCATAAGTTCAAAAGTCCTCTATTTGATTTCCGATTCTCAATATAAGTCAACAATTTGGCCAAACCGTACAATATATGCGATTTTATCGCGATGTTGTGTAATAGATACTGTTAAGTGTGTGTGCGGACGATGTTTGCACGATGTGCGGACGATGTTTGCACGATCTGCAATGTGTTGGTTGTGAGTTACCACATGTACGTGTATTTCAGTAAGGATGTCATAAAAAGGTGTTTTTCTCCAAAATAGTTCTTAATGTAGACTCATCTAGTGATGAACTGCACGCGGAATATAATAATTATGTTTATATTACATACTTTGAGAACTCGGCATGTCTGCAATAAAAGTTGCTTCACCAGTCACCAGGAAACGCCCTGAAATATTTGGAATTGGTTGTCCCACTGAATCGTGTTTCGGTTGCGTCATGGAAGGAGCTTCCCACACTTGTGTGCCCCTACTAGTGCCCCATTCAAGAATGTCGTCTAAAGCATCTGTCTAAAGGAGTGGTTTCATATTATCAGAAAAATATTAATGTCATTTTTTTCACGAAAAGAATTGGATTACGTCTATATGTGTCCCCATTCAGTTTATTATTTTCTTGATGGTATCAAACCCAGATACTTTATATGTAGGAGACACAAAAGATAAGTTAAGGAAGGGCAATAGGTTTTTTTGCTTCATTCATGACGTGTAAATAACTATACTTTAACAAAAGCAATAGAGCCAAAAGGATTATTACTATGACGATGCCGGATAATTTACCTATCAATATTTGATTACAATTGATTAATTATTTTGGGAATAACCTATTTAGTCTGAAAACAAATTAACGATACCTCGTCAATATCAATAGCTATTTGGTTCCAGAACTTCCGAAAAAAACCTTCGGCTATCTGCAGCTTGACCTTGTTCACATTTTCTATTTGCATCTGTCGCAGTTCTTCTCCGAGCTCTTTATGTACTTGTTTAAACGTCGAAGAAATGAGGCGTCTGTTAGAGTAATATTAAAAAGATATTTGGCAGCGTTCAATGTAAAGTAAAGACAGTATAGAGGAATATTGAAGTAAATTAAGTCACATAAATGTTTCGTCCTTAAAGGCATTGTCAGTGATGCCATCAAGAAATGAGATATTGATTACACAATTAAGATATTAACAAGCTAATCATACAGATTGGTGGTAGTTCGATAAGTAAATATTTCTAATACACAAAACATCTTTGCGTTGTAAGTTAGTTCGGATGTTTCATTAAACATATCCAATATTACCTAGCAGCATGGTGATTGATACTTACTTTCCAACAAGTGAGCAAGCACTAACTGTTGCTAATTGGAAAGTTTGTCCAATCCCGCCAAAACAAAGACGTGCTGAGGTAACCAACTCATCAACAAAGGTGACGGTAAAGCAAGCATTGGCGATAGCGTAGTCAAAACTTTTCCTCTTTGACTGCTTATAGTAAAAGGTTTTGTTTTGCTGGAACATGAGAATATCAATAGTAAGTCAGTTTTGATTTCTATGAAGATTTAGACTGATACTACACATGGAACAAGAGGCTCGTAGGATCTGTATCATTCATATGGCTTTATCTGGCTGATCTTGATTTATCAAAACTAAAAGAAAAGGAATTCAAACGATTTATAAAACAAACATTACAACACATCTTCTATTTTCTCATTTGGCCCCAACCCTCGCGGTCACAGCCAAACCATTTATGCTTCAGACTAAATTCTAACATTTAAGGATTTTAAAGAATTTTTTCCATTTCCCCTCTAAAGGGTCCTTCCCCTCCCGCCATAGGAGGTCGAGATCCATCGTTTACACTGGCAAACTAACCAGCATCAAACATACCCAGTTTCATATGAAACAATTCTTATTCAGATTACTATGATGACCTTAAAGCAGTATATTAATGATCGATTCCATAGCATTTTCCGAGGTTCCATCTCTTACCACTTCCATAGGAATTCGCACAGACACGATAACATCCGATTCCTTAAGGATGGTTTTCCAAGGTCCCGCAATGAAATTAGCATCTATCAAAGTTTCTGACCGACTGTCTTGAAATGGAAACAAAATTAACATTTGAAGATCAAGCCACACTGAATGTAATGATTGCTTAAAATTGTTGTTTTTGCAACTGCTAATTATTACAATTTTTCATTTTACGAATATAAAGAATCCATTCATTGTGTCCCGAACGGGGTTTGAAACCGGGACCGCTGTATTACTAGTTTAATGCTCAAGCGACTGAGCTAAAGAGCCGTCGCCTATGAATTAAGCATAACCTTTAATTTAGGTTAAAACCGTGAAAAATATTACGGCATTTGTTTTGCTTATTTTTCATTGATTTTTCTATAGGTTATTTATATAAACTTTATTTATTGTATAACATTTGCTAAATATGTAATTGCAAGTGACACTAATCACAGTTGTTGGCCAAGATGTAAACGCGCGAAGGGATAACTTTGGGAGGAAATCTGAGTACACGGTAAAAACCCACATAGTCGGAAAGCTGAAAGACGAGTGCATTACCACTGCGTTACTTGATCACCCACACCAATAGTTACATGCCAATATCAATGCTTCTAAATTTGAACATGTCAATATTAATGCTTCTAAATTTGATAGCTATCACAATGGAACACCATTGCAAAAGCTTTTTGGCATATATTATGGGTTTTTTTTATTAGAGTTGTCCTTTCAAAAAAGTAGTTTACATCTTAATTTTTCACCGTTGTCAACATACCTTTCGTAGCTATGATAGCTTTAGCACCTAAAGACATTAACACTGGATACAGATCTGAACGTGGGTCACAAACTGCTAGATGACCACCAATTGTCTGAAAGAATATTAGTGGTATATAAGTATTTTTTTTACATTACAGAGTGTATATTTTCATAGTATGATTACATGAAATAACAGTAGTTATGTCCTGTTCCATAAAAATCAGATGCAATAAAACCATTTTGTTATTCTGTTAATTATCCTGAAATCAACCAAGGCATTTTAATTTAATTCAAATTGCTTTCGCCAAGAAGCTCAAAATATAAGTCCTAATAAATAGACAAAGTGAAGATTTGTGGCGTACTGTTGTTATCGTAGCCACAGCTAGCAAAAGAGATGTAGATGGAACAGGTAAAATACCTCTCGTATAAGTCACAAATAAGTATCTGTTATACAAAATTCTTCTTTGTGTAACGAATCCATCGCGAACGATGATACATTTTCTTCTATGTACCGTTAAGTCTAAATATATTTGCTACTTTCGACGTCACAATCCTGTGGATCTCATTTCGTTTGCAAATATTTAATCTTTGTAGAATCTTAATAACATCTTGATAACAAGAACGATTTAAACATAATTAATTATTTATTTAACAAATGTATCTTTTTTTTCAGAATGTCACAATAGTCGTGTATAGAGTATCTCTACTAATACATAATATTACATGTATTTCATAACCTCTAAATACAGAATTTCTGTCGAATAGCTTCAGCACAATATCGTAGTAAACATCGTAACTAAATGATAAAAATAACGTTAAATCTTCTTTAACGTAATATTGATATTTTGGGAATTTAACGATACATTATTTTTACAGGGATCTGTTACCGCAGTATGCTTGATTTGATCTGAAGCAATCCACCGCAAACTCTTCTTAAGTGCATGGAAGCCCGTGTCACGCCGCGCTGAAACAGTTATTTTCATCAACTGGTGTTTGTCCAGATTTTGACATCATATAAAACATGCCTTAATGATGAGTATGGTAATTTTGTATACAAAAGAAAATCAGGGAATCCCATTCTCGCTTTGAAAATCAATCGTATTTTTAAGATTGAAATTCGATGATTTGGTCAAATTTTCGGTTGCCTCTAAAGGACAAAATGTATAGTTTTTTTTTATTCTAAATAGTGATATAAAATAATGTTTTGCGAACCTGTTTTATCAGCCGAAATGATACCATCTAAATGACTCTCTAAGCTTGCAAGATCAACCGCAGCACCAACCTCTAGCAGACTGTCACGTGAAAGCAACACATTCATTTCCGGTATATGCGAACAACAAATAAGTGTGCTTCCGGCCACGTGTCCTGTCCTCATACTGCTGCCTACAAATAGAAGTTACTTAATCATACATGTATTTTATGAGTAAGAAACCATTCCATTGAACTGATTTAATTTTCAACTGGATACATGACCAAGAAGGAAATGTATAACCATTTATTCTTTAATTTAGTATTAAATCGTTTGGAAAATATATGATAATTTGACCACATCAGAACAAATACCATTATTATAATTACAATCTTAACGACCCATCACCACATGAAAGGTAATTAGGGCAATCAACCGGCGAAAGACACAACGACCAGAAAGGAAATAACATCAAACAAACTAAAAGGTAAAAGACAGATGCTAAAAATCCCAAAAGATTTAAATGGTAAATCGTATTCTATAATATAGATAAACATCTTTCAGATATTCTAGAATTTCATAATACTCCACAGACAGAAGGTCAATGCTGTACAATAAAAAATGTTTAGCGGTGATTAACTCATCACATCCTATGCACCGTGGATTATCTTTGCCTTTCAATATATATGAATGTGTAAGGTACGTATGGCACATCCGAAGACGAGAAAGGACAACTCCGTCTCGGTGGTTGTCTCTATAGCATGGATACCATTCACCGATAATAGGTTTTACTGTATTATCGGTATATTGGTTCCATTCCTCCTGTCTCTGAGCTGTTAAGATTGTTTGATAAATGGTTTAAAATCAGCAAAATGATCTTTAAATACAACAGGTGGTAGAGATAAAGCTGCCTTTGCGGCACGATCTGCTTTTTCATCGCCTGGTATTCCCATGTGCCAAGGAACCCAGCAAAAACAACACGAAAGTTTTAGGCAAGTTCACGATATAGTATCAATGTATTACGAACGACACTGTTTTCGATATTTCTACTGCTAAGACTTTGTAGTGCAAAAAGAGAGTCTGAATAGATAATAGCTCTCATTTCTTCGTTTGTTTGAATATATTCAAGGGCGAGGTAGATAGCTCGTGCTTCTGCCGAGAATATTAAAGCGTTGTTTGGTAGCCGGCATCCATAGGCTTCATTTTGTGTAATCATGGCAACGGCAATCTTATTATTATCTTTTGGACCATCAGTATAAAAATGTTGAAATGTTATATTTTAACTGCAACTTCGAGAAGGTTTTAACATTTAGAAAAGTTGGTTGTAAGTTTCGTTGTTTCGGAAGAGAATATTTCCCCGAATGGTCGTAATATTTTAAAATGTTTTGGAATGATTATTTGCAGAGGAACTTTTGCAAAAAGCAGATTCTAAAGTATTTGCAATATCAAATTTCGATGTGGCTAATTTTGCATTTGTTTTCACAAGTCCACTTGTTTTGAATAATGTTTTACATCTGATTTGTTTAATCATATCGCATACCTTTTTGTGGATGTATTCAACTTTAATTTGGACACATAAGATCTCCAAGACAATTTTTTGTTTAAGCGTATAAGTGTGTTTTTTAATCGTCTCAAAGCGGTTTTCCTCTTTCTAATAGCTTTATCACAATATTCAATAATCCAATCTTTCAGGAAGTTCTGTAGTAAGAAATTCTATCAGGTCTTCTAAGTTCAGGATATCAATGGTGTTTAGAATTTTGGTGTTGAGATGTTCGAATTTACTCTAATCTGCTTTCCATAAGTTCCAGTAGGGTACATGATAGCTTTCTATGGGTCCACATTTCCTGAGAAATATTGGAAAGTGGTCGCTTCCTCTTAGATTGTCATGCAGCGTCCATTTGAAATCGAGTAAAAACGATAAACGACATAAAGTTGAACCAGAAACAATTTAAAGTTATAACTTAACACAGAGACTATAGCAATAATCAATAGTTGATAGCTAGAATCAACAACAACAAAATTTTCGTGATCGATAGCAAGAAATTTCTACTTTTAATCAACTTCAAGCTATTATATATCACAACCATTGAAATTTTACTTTGTGTACAGTAATGTGTTCAGTCGTCATTTAAGTATAATGATCTATGTTATGTTTTTTGAGGAGGGCATTAAGACCTATTACAGGCGGATATCAAGAAGATGAGGATACAATTTTGATGTCACATGAATATCTAAATCAACGACCAGCCTACTAACCCATGCCTGTGACACCCATAACAATTCGTGCACCAGGAACATCATTCATTATATTTAGAACTTCGGTTAAAGAGGTTGGTCTGATCCACGCCATATTGCCACACACGAATCGGAGATTTCCTGAAGCAAGTGCCTGTTGCAGGTAAAGATACATATATGTATATTTGTATTTTATATTATTTCGATGTTATATCATTATCTATTACTTTTTTAATGTGACTAATTTTGTCAGAAGACGATGACTGTATATATACATTATGAAAAATGTTTTAAGATGACCTCGCAAGCGAGAAAAGAGCATATTTTTTCAAAGTTTATTTAAACAAATACCTGTAGATCTTCCGGGAATGCAGGCTTGGCTATTGTTGTTTTCTCTTCGTGACCTTTTAATCGGAATTTCTACAATAGAGATGTAAACACTGTGGAATGTGGGTTAATGTTCATGTCAGAACAAAGGAGTAAAAAACAAGTCATTATATAAATGAAAGTAAAACATATATATATTAAATTATTGCACAATGTGATTACTTTGGGCTTTCCAAGAATGAAAAAAAAAACAAATGTCAAATAACGTTCAAGGTGAACAAAAGGGGATGTTGTGGACGCACATTTTACTTGACGTCACGAAGCGCCACAAATTTAACCAGTACATTTATTTTTTTTTAATACCTGTTTTTAATTCTTACCTTGGTATTAAACATATCTTCGATGTCAGTGGATGCGAACTCCTACGGTAAAATATATTAACACTGTAATGCTGTGTCAAAATACCGCTAAGCGTACGAGCAATGTTTCAAATGAGTGCAGATAAGTCAATTTTAATTGATGTATGTTCCGACAAAATATGTGTGAGATGAATAAATCAAAAAGACAAAGTTTAGCATTGAAATGCTACCACTTGGTACCGTTTTATTATGGAAATATATTTGTCGTGTCGGCAGTTATGCAAAATATGAGATTCTTGTCATCTACATTTTGTAAATGTTGTTAATTACTTGTACACCTAATTCAATAAAATCTTCAATAATTTGTCTTTTGTGATGTTGTACTGGAAGAGTCAGGGGATACATATTATATTTGAAGTAAACAGATAGAAAAAAATCTTATTTGACATAACTACAGAGTATAAAGTGTTATAACTGCAACCACCGAAAGATCTTTTTATGCATTGCTTATTGTTCTAAGATAACTGATTTTCAATTAACGTTATTAGTTTACAAATGTCTGTTGCAGTTTGAAAGTTGAATTTAAAAATGCTTTTAACGAATAGGTATTTTTATTTCTGATATTTGTTATTGTTTTCAAAATGTAAATTTGATGATACCTTGCAAAACGGTTTAAAAGCCTCGATGATCGGTCTGTAACCTGTGCATCTACAAAGATTACCTTAAATGGAAATGTAGAAATTATTTAACGTGTTTTCAATGCTTCGGCATGAATTCAAGGATGTTAAGTTCATATTAATACACAAACACTACCTTTGTTTAATTATATCTATCAGGAATATCTAAAGTGGGTCGACGTTCTCCTGATACTGCAAGGTCATAAGTCATGGTTGAATGTCAGGTTTTTTTATGATTATAATAATTAAAACATTTCTCAACACGTTTCTATTCCGACAAGGCCACGTTTGTTTACCACCAACTGTAGTTATTTATATTGTCTTTCAGTATAAGTTCAACACCCCTGATACTTATGATAGGTTATGTTTCTCTCCCACCAAATAGTTAATCGTGGTCGTAATTACGACATAACTTCATACAAGTCTTAAAATAATACCCTACTTGATCATTCTATCAAAATTATATAGCATTCGTATCCTCATGATCAACCAAACAAGGAATAAATAATTTCTTTTTATCGCATGCAATAAGCAAAACGCTTTTTAGTAAGAACTTTATCAGTCATAAATCAATACAATCTTGGTCTGTTTTGCCATGGTAACTTAAAATGGATTGCTGTCGCATCAATATTGTTTTTCAGAGGAAATTAAAGTTTCACCTTCCAGTGCCTGTTCGAGTCTTTCTTGTGATGGCGCCCTGTTGTTCTGTGTGAGGGTATAAACAGACATGACAAAACCAGGGGAACAATATCCACACTGGACTCCGTGACAGCTAACCAAAGTCTCCTATTTAACAGTGTTAATGGTAAAACAAATCAATTAGCAAGGAATTTAATAAAAATTGAAATATTCCCTTTAAGCAATTTTAACATTCAAACACATCATTTATTGTCTGCCTTTGTTCGTGGAATATACAGGTAAATACATATGCACGTTTAACGAATAACACATTTTTTTTCAAACTGCATGCTTATATAGAAACAATACAGTACATAACCTTTTTCAAATGGTATCGTTTGCATTTGATTATATGATTGAAAGTGGACGGTATCCCATTCTTTCTGAACTGTATTTTTGTTTACAAAGAAGAGAATGTCATGCGTTTCATAATGGAATCATTTTACCAAAAGAAACATATTCAAAACAATTTACCATCAACAAAGAAACCAGGTCCAACAGTACTACATTACCTATATAATGTGCTTGGTTTTTGTTTGTGGTTTAGATATTACCTGGAGTGGGTGTAAGCCGTTCTGGTTGCTTCCAACACCCTCTATAGTAGTAACAGCATGACCATGAAGATAGCAAAGTGGAGTTATACAGGCATTGATGTTTTTGTGTCAATTTCAATGTCAAAGAAACCATATTCAGAACTAAATTATATTTATAACAGCAAGAACAGGACGACTTGTCAATGAAATTGTAATACAAAATCGAAATCGGTGACAGGAGTGCAAGGAATGAACACAAGAAAGATTTACACGAAAATTATTGAGAACAAAAGAGAGAATAATACCAGGTTTTCCAGAGGGATAACTTTTTATGCTGTCTTGACAATAACAGCCGCATAAAATTTGGTCTATCCATGTTCGTAATTTCAAGTTTTTCAAACGAGTATTTTGATTTATAACTCATATGGCTTTTCGATATGAAAGATAAAAGAAATTCAGAAGGGAAATACACACATATATATAACGTTTCAGGACGAACAATAAATGCAATTGTAGGAATCAGTAAGTAGTATAACAATTTCACAGACATTGAAAAGAAAATAAAGCCATGTCAAGAAGCAGGGAGGAGGCATTGGCATCGTAAAGGATACCGAACGATCTTCTGACTTTGGTCCCACCATGACGTCATGACCGTACAAGCGCCACATCCTCCTTGAGAACAGCCATTCTTCGTTCCCGTCAAACCCACCATGACATGTTAAGGAATTTTGTATGGGAACAAAATCCGATGTGATCAATATATTTTAATTGTAGGTCAGAATGATATTATATATATAGATTTGGCTGTATTCAATAATATACAATAAAAAGGAATTAATGCATTGATATATGTTTCAACGTAAATAGTGACACGACAATGCATATTAGGAAATGTTAGCTTATGAATATGCATCATATGATATGATTCATATCACACTTAGCCATAACTGATTCTTTAATTATACAGAAATACACGAAAAAGGTATAGGTATAAAGTAAAACTAAAGATTGAAAATCAATAGTCTAAAATCGATGTTGAAGGATACACTCGTTTCGTAGATACTGGAGGAGAGTGGTAGATGGATGAGGTGTCGCAATTTCCTTCTGTATAAAACAAGTCGAAGCAAATAACAGAAACAGTATTTAGTTACTTTATATTTTCAAAATTTCGAATTTCCTTGCTACTGGTCAAGTAAAACACAAAATATGTTAAAATTGTACAAGAAAGTGAGAAACTATCTGTGATATATATAATGTGTGTGTGTGTGTGTGTGTGTGTGTGTGTGTGTGTGTGTGTGTGTGTGTGTGTGTGTGTGTGTGTGTGTGTGTGTGTGTGTGTGTGTGTGTGTGTGTGTGTGTGTGTGTGTGTGTGTGTGTGTGTGTGTGTGTGTGTGTGTGTGTGTGTTATTTATGTTTTAAAAGGAAGAATGATTAGCATGTTTTTGGCGAATAACTGTGTAAATAAGTGACACCATATTACTTTGTTGCAATGCAGGAAAGACACAACACATGTTTAAGATTCATCCCAACTTTAAGCTGTTTTGTCAACAAGGACAAATAAACATCATTTAGTTTAACACTAAAAGTACAACTTCTATCAAATCATTCATCCTTTATTTTGATGTTATGCGTTCATAGTAACAATATCGCAGATAAATGACTGTTAATGAAAAGATATTGCGTAGGATTCATTCACTTATTGGTTCACGTAGTTTGTTTAATTCACATTTTGATTTGTTTCATATTACAATAAGAATACTATTATAACTGATGGGCATAGGACACTACACTTCTGAAATGGTGAAAATTGCTCACTATATTTATCTCCCCGTTAACATGAAGTTTCATGAAGTAGTTCACTGAACAGCAGACAGGAGGCCCCATAAATACATAATGCTTCGAGTAAAGAGCGTCAAACATATCGGATATTATCATGAATTTTCAAAATTCAAAAATTCAGAGATACGGACGAAAAATCAAGCAATAGAGAATTATTTACCTTTTTGCCGTTGACATAAATTATCAAGATATCCTCGACTGTGTTCATCTTGAGTCTCATAAGATAATCTGAAAATAATACATGTGTTGCAAAAGTAAAACCATTTATTAAGATATGTTAAATCTTCAATGGCTGATTATAGAAGATGATTTTACAGAACAAATCTCCATTTAATGACATCATTTAGCAAGTAAATAAAACGATATTAAAGATAATCTGAAGAACATTGTACTGCACGATGAGTTTTCGATATATTGGAACATTTGAACCATGGAGAAAAATTCAACCTTACCACTAACTCGGATCAATTCATATCTAAAGTATAAACTGTTTCAACTCCTGTTTATGCGTTAGTTTTACACACGTAAACTGAGTGATGATGCAGTAGGTTATTGTTTGAAAATAAATCGTCCTTCCGTTTTGTTTAACAGTGAAGTATGACTGATCATTTATGCCAAGTTAAAACTAAGTCCATTGATACCAAAAATAAGTAGGGCATCGTTCTTGTTTTCTCTGTCTATGACTTTGCCTTGACTGCAATGGCGGGAGCTAATAATTATACAACAACATGTATCAGGAACTGCCCTAAAATGATTTATGACATACTATTTTTATCAATGCCAAGAATGCGTGTTTACTCATCAATTGACAACTATTTCTAAGTTGTTATTTGCGTACATTTCTCAGTTCATACTTACACGGATGGGGTTTGATTACAAAATCGGTTAAGGATGATTGTCTGGGCAAGGCAAAAGTCTGGAAAGAGAGATAAAAAGATAAAAGAAACTGAATAGATATCTGTCTCCGATGGGTTTGTAAGTTAGCAGGCAGATATGGGCTTGACAAAATTCCGATCAGAAAAGGACCTCACCACAATATTCTGCAGATTTCGCAAGCGTGCTAACAGTGTTGCATTTAATTCATTTATTAGAATGGCTTTCGTTTTTATCTCAAGCCATTTAAAAGATAAAAGCGATATACAATAAAATGATGACGTAGATTAAACTGTGAATGTATATCATAATGTTTCGTGTGAATATATATAGCTGACGTCGTTGTTTGTGACCCAAATGTATTCACAAGGCTTAATTGACCAATTCATCATACAATGTTGGCGACGGAAACTATCCCGTATGATGTAATGGTGATATTATGTAAATGTTACTATAATTGGATGGAGTGTAGGTTTTCATGGGGAAGGTGATATAGTGATAATGATAATGACATTTTTGACAGTGAAATACAGGAATTTATTAATTTATTCTTAAAAACCTTACATCAGTGAGTTACGAAATCTTTCATCACTAGTGATGATGCACCTTTTTCAGTGATGATAAAACTTTTGTAGTTTTTACCAACCAGAGAGGTGCTTTCGAGTTACTGCAACGAATTTCCTTGATTTTCCTTTTTTGGTGAAATGAAGCGATGTTGAGTCAGTTGGTTTTCCGTCATAAACTCTTCCCGTGTGCATTTCTGTTTTTCTCTTGTAAGTATCAAATAACATTTTTGTAAGCATTTCTTGCAAGATAACACCCTGAAATGGTAGAATACAACCTACATCGAGCTATTCAAAATGAAGTCGTCATGTTGTCAAGCATAATGTTGAAATATCAAACGTCAAAGATTGCGCCAATATGCCCAGAGCATTATTTAAACACCGCTTAGTTTTCTGTTTGGATCATCCTTTTTATCATTGAATTTTAAAATGTGACAAAAAGATATTTTGATGCTTTCTTTTAAACATTCTATATATTTCACTCGTATGACAGAAGGTCTCTATCTTTCACACGAGTGCGAATTTATAATGAGTCCCGGGTCTGAATGATCACCCGTCTTAGCGAAAGGTCGTCAACCTTAATTGTCCTGTAAGTTGCATTCCGCAAGCGGTAATATATTGGTCATGTCTCCTGATGTTTCTTATCAAACACATATTTGGAATTTATAAATACAATTAGTACCATGAAGGACTTCGACAAGTAGACATATCTAGTTCTGAAAATCTTTATTGAATGTACATGACTGTTTTCAAATTATGATATCAGATAACAGATTATTTTGATTCCCACCAAATGCATGTTTAATAACCTCACAGCATCCCCAACCTTCATTTTTAGGCATTTTCGTTCTCAAATGTGTACACTCTCTTTCTTTACACATCAACTGTGTCAAAATTAAGAAAAGCATGGTATATTGATAAAATTATGACTTTTGAATAACAAACTTATTTTTAGTTATGTAATTCGTAAACATCACAACTTCATAGCATAAATCATCTTCACAGCTACGAATAGTAGTAACATTTACGTTTTTATACTCCCTATATCACAAATAACACTCGCTTCAAACCGTTATTATTATTATTATTATTATTGCAATTTTTACTGCCCGTCGACACATACCAGGTGTCTCAGTGATTGATTTTATAGCATGGAGTCCATTCATAGATAATATGGTTTACGGGTGCATTTTATTATCGGTTTATTGATTCCATTCCTCCTCCCACAAAGCTATTAAAAATTGTTTGCTAAATGAGTTAAAATCAGTAAAACGAAGTTTAAAAACAACAAGTAGTAGCGATTAAGCTTCCTTTGCGGCACGATCTGCTTTTTTATTGCCTGGTATTCCCATGTGCCCAGGAACTCAGCAAAAACAATACAAATGTTCAAGGTAAGTTCATGATGCCGTATTAACGTATAATAAATAAAAATATTTTCAATATTTCTATTGCTAAGACTGTGTAGTATAGAAATAGAGTCTGGATAGAAAGCAGCTCTCATTACTTTGTTTTAATTTGTTCAAGGGTGAGGTAGCTTCGCTTCGTCGAGAATATTGAGGCGTTGCTCAGTAGCCGGCATTCACAGGCTTCATATTGTGTAACCATGACCACGGCAATCTTGTGATTATGTTTTGAACCATCAGTAGACAAATGTAGAAATGTTTCAAGATGAATGAACGAAAAGTGCAACTGTCTTTGTCTGATTTAACCATTCCATGAAGTGACGAGTCAGCGTCAGGTGAATTCAAGATCTAGGGTGGAATTTTTATCATTTCAAATGACTGAATTTGGTCAATATCAATATAATAATAAAAAAGCGGAAATCCGACTACCGAATGTAGAAATGGTCTTTCCTTTGTTTTGAAACAAGATTTATATTTTGGATTAAATACAAGTGAAAAAGAAGGATTTGAAGGGTTTTACTTTAGCTGAATGTTGTAGTGCGAAGCCAATTTATGTTGACGACTATAAAGTGATAGTTCGTTAGCCTCTATATAGAGGCTTGCTCTAGGTGTGGTCTTAAAAGCTCCAAGAACGAGCCTCATACCCTGGTGATGAACAGTGTCTTATACTTTCAGATATGAGGGTCTAGCAAATCCATACACAATGGAACCGTAGTCTAATTTTGATCATAAGAGCTCTATAAAGTCTTAGTAAAACTTTTTTATCAGCTCCCCAACCAGTTAGGGACACCACCTTTAGAATATTCAGTGCCTTAAAGCATCTGGTTTTTATCTGGAAGGAACGACAATTTCCTGTCGAATAGTACACCTACGAATTTGGTTTGCTCAACGACTGGAATGGGTACACCACAAAGAGAAAGATTTGGATTGTCGTGTTGTTTCCGCATTTGACAAAATGCATTCAACCTGATTTTGATTGTGAAAATTCAAATCTATTTTCATCTTCCCAAATCTGCAGTCGATTCAAACATTGTTTTAATTGTCTTTTAATGGTATTCATATGTTTAAATCGATAGCAAATTATGAAGTCATCGACATAAAGAGCGCCCTCCATTGAAGGGGATACTGATTTGATATTACTGTTAAAGTCCAAAAAGTGTAACGTAGAAAATGCTTCCTTGTGGTACATTCGTTTCCTGGTGATGAATATTGGAAACGTTCGTTCCATTCCGGACTTGAAATACTTTATCCAATAGAAAATTAGAAACAGAATTTGGTAAATTACCTCTAATGCAGATCTTCCATTATGCCGTATTTCCACGTTGTATCGTAAGACCAAATGTTCCTTCTTTAAAAGAGCCTCACGCACAAAGTTTCCAAGTCTAAGCAAATGATCGTTGGTACCTCGCTTAAATCTAAAACCGCTTTGTAGGACTGATATTATGTAATTGGATTCCAGATACCAAAGATTTGTTAGAAATATTCCTGTGTGTTGGTTTTCACTGGTGTATATTCTTAAAGAAGATGGAGTGTTTAGTAATCTTTGTATCCCTCATATACACAACAGCAGTGGCCAAATCAATGCCACAGTGGATGATACTTGTTTTCCACAAGACGAACGGTTGAATTTGTTGTTTAGCATAGGTATTGCTGTAACAACAGGTGCTTGCTTCCTTGTTGAACAACTTCACTTCAGATTCGACTTCAGAAAAAACTTGCATACTTGGTATGTAAGTACAAAATCAATTTATTATTTTCCTAACTTAACAAATGTATCATCTGGTTACGCATTTAACCAATATAATCATTCTTATATTACAACCGTCTGATGCCAGAAATAAAGTGAAATTGCTCTACCAAACTTTAGATTAGATAGCATTGCGTTTTGTCGTATTTCTTATTCTGTATTTTGGTAAAAAGTTCGAAAAGTTCGAAAATCTTTATACATAGTGTGCATTTTGCATGGGACGCGTAGCCATACAATATCAATCTCTTTATTATCAGTAAAGGTTATTTTCATCTGCTTTTAAAACATCAAACAACCAATTTGGATTAAATGTAAAGCCAAGGGCACAAAATGTGATGGCATTATGCAATGTATGGGTGAAAAAATCTTTAGACTGACCTCTATGTGAAATAAGCATTGCTGGAAACCCCACCAAGGATTAACTATTACAAGGAATATGTTGTTCAAGAATAATGTTGACAGCATAGTTATATAATGATAATTATCCGTAATATTGTTTGATAATGTTTAACCAACATATAGATAGCTCCCGAAAATACTGGGCCTGGGTCAGGGGAGATACGGTATCGTGCTCAACAACTATGTGATAGGATCGCACATTTTGTGCGTTTTGGTAAAAAAGGTTGGCTAATGTTACAAATAGAAAATTAAACGAAACAAAACGTATAGTAATTACTAAATAGCGATCACGTGAACATTAAAATTGATCGGTGTATATATATATAGTTTTACACTGTATTGGTGCTTCGTGCAACAAAAGTTTACCTGTATACTGGTATATACGTGACAGATCAGGATCCGTACTTGCTGGGTCGGCCGTTTAAATAAACAACACTTAAGATTTCCTTGATCTTTTATTTTTGTTTACAAAATACATGTAAATGAATGATGAGAGTAATACAGAAGTAACGAAAATACAAATTCCTTTGTGAAGGTATGAGATTTTAAATGATTCATTGCTGTGACAAAAAGAGACGTCCATTTAAGGTTTACGTTTATAATATATATATTGTGTGTCCGTACGCTAAGGCTAGTCATGTGTGGCTCTTTGTAAACAAAGCGCTTAAAATTACGAGTGTATATAACTATTCCGTGTGCATCTGATATATCTACAAGTATCCAACCTATATATCAATATCTTAATTTGGAAATATATTTTTTTGTATTCTAATTCAGAAAAGAAATCAACCCTATCCCACACTTATCTATAAGCCATCTCTAAATGTATATCAACCACGATAGAACCACACAACGTTCAACAGCTTATTTCGTCCAATTTGCCTTTCATCATGCACATATCGTGCGATCTCACAACTGTATATTCGGCATTTCTCGTTCCGACCAATTGGTGTAACACCAGCGTTGAATTAGACATTCAATTGCCATACAACCCGCGGTCTTTTATCAGGACTTTTGACCTACCGGAACAGCTCTAAAGTGATTCCACCTGGTTTATGCATGTGATACCAGTGGTCACTGTTTTATACCAAAATGAAACAATGCTCGTCATAAGTCATATGAAGAATGCCCACCAAAGTGGAAAATTAACGCGGACGACGAGACATTTATTTCCTTACAAGAAAAACAACCAAGAACATGTAGGTGGAGCAAATCAATAGGGTATTCAATACGCTGGAAATAAAGGTCTGAAGGAGATAGCAATAAAGAGATCTACCACTAATTCAATAGTATAGATAATAGCCCACGACTTTTCGGAAACATTGCGACGGCTTTATGCCAATTAAAAGAATTGTTTATTTCAGTGTAGGTCGTTTTCGTGTTGTTTTATAAAGATGGGTTCTTGACTTAGTGACAGTTGCTATTCAAAATGATGATTTATATATACACTGAAAGGATAAAACCGGCAACTTCTTTCATTGTAAAATATTTTGTAATTAATATACATAGTCAGAGCCGTATAAAAAGTAAGAGAAATATATATCTTATCCCCCCACCCCCCAATTAATGTTTAAAATTCATCATCCATAACATTTTCGCATTCTCCTTAATTACCAATATACTGTGACTGTGCATGCGTTCTTTTCCTTTCAAACTTGTGTTAATTACTGACCATCACCAAAACGCGTGATCGACAGTATTACACAACAGCCCAATGATTGATTTTGCATTTCTAACGTGGCACAGCTGGACATTGTTATTCAACTACAAACACGTATGGAACATCAGCTAATTTGAAATTTGAAAATTATTAAAAATTGTGTAAAAGAATACTCTGGTAAAATTGAGCATCCCTTTGTAATTTAACCGCAATTCCCTATACAGTTACGTCAGTATAACTAATTCTATCTCTGTGCGGTAACTGAAAACGAGTGATACATATTTTTGGTTTTTACCTGTTATGCACATGACATAAAATCTCTAACGTCCTGTTAATGAGTTTTTTCCACTTTTGCTGTAGCAGTATTTGTATCCATCCACGTTTAAAGAGTCTCGTTCTTCGTTACAGGAAGTGGTAGATGAAATAACGTAAATATATATTAAGCAGCGATTAAAACATGGTATGAGTAATGCATTGTTAGTCACGTGACATGTTATATGTAGGAATATTACCCGTCGTCGGAAGTTAGATTGTGATGTCATTAGCATATCTAATGGGGTAGGGAATTGCCTTCCTGAATTCTTCGAATGAAGTAACAAGATAGTTAATTTTATTTACTATTTCTTCGGGAGTACCATAGCGTAGTCTGTAGAACGTATGTAGTGTTATGATCATTACTTTTAGTGCTTTGTAAGCTCAAATCTACACCTTTCTGTTATCTAGTAATTGAGTCATTGAATAACGTTGTGCTCCTATTTCTTTAGACATATACCATACTATTTGGCGAGGTGTTCAACAGCACCCACAAGGAGACTTTACGTCAAACTGCCCCTGTCTGCTGCGGCTACGAATCCAGCAAACAAACAAATAGCGAAATAATATTGTTTGGCATCACCTACATAATGATAGCCATTGGCTAATAATTACAGAGTATGCACACATTAACCTTGTGAAGTCGGATATTTTATTCAAATAAATCAGCAGGTATGTAATCCAGGTTGGTCCTGCCTGGATCTTGAATCGGTTATCGCCTAGCGATGTAATCCAAATAGGCCCTGTCTAGATCCTGAATTGGTTACTCCTTTCCAAAAAGACATATTCACAGCTAACCTGACTCGTCGATGAGATCTGTAGTGAGAGCCGCTTCTGTGTGTTTCAGAGAGAAAAAGCGATTTGCGAGAGGCGGATCTCAGAGATCATCCATTTTCTTAATATCTTTGGTTTGAAGTATACGAGGTGGTTGTCCTATGCGACAGACTGTGGATGCGTCACGTGGAACATAAAGGGGCGCGCTTGAGCCAATAACAAGGAACGCTACATCGTGGAAATCTGATCTATATTCAGAGTTAAGACTCCCGACATTATGACGGTCATCCCTGTGACCCAGGCCGAGGAGGTAACTTGGTCGGGTGTAAAGACGCAAAATTAAAACAATAGCAAGGAGAATGAAAGCCAGACAGGCGCAACTAGACTGAGTATGGAAGAAAATTATTCTAATGTAGAATATCGTGAACAGTTTGGTTGTTTACCTTTAACGCGAGTTTGTTATTTCTTAAGATGTACTAAATATTTGTATTATAGATGTATTATCTATATTTTGTATCTCAAGTTTCATAGGTTGCTTTTTCCTTAGTCCCTGGTTTTTTTATTTTGGAACTGATCAGAAGCAGAAAATGACTGATTCTTTGATTTTGCGAATGAAAGTTTATTATTGTTGATTCTTGGCAAATACCAGCTGGCATTTTATCACATGTAGGTTTCCCTCAGTCGCTTGTTGTACACATTTAATTTTAGGACCGATTAATATAACAAAATGACTGAAATGACGCCATATTTGAATTTGACTATAAAAGCTTCAAATTGCTATTTCTTTAAATATACTTCAAAATAAATTTGTCGAATTTTCAAGTCCCTTTACTCCCTATTTATGTTTTTATTTATCATGGGACTGAGTGCAAATAACCAACAAGCAACCATCTTGGATGCATTACAGTTTGGGGTTTCTTCCAGAGAACTGTTTAAATTTGAAATTATTTAGAGCAAAATCAGGAAAGAGTGGGAAAGATTGAACTTTTAAAGAACAAATAAAGATGAAACACTGATGGGCCTGCTAACTCTGCATAGTACACTTTAATCCATTTAAAGTGAGTTTGTCGGTTATGTCAGAATGTCGATCAGTATGATAACAGATGTAATCTTCTGTTCGCGATATTCGCAATCAAGGGATCAACTTCAATTGTTATATCACAACTAATTGAAATCATATATCACATGGTATTGGCTCCTACCTTTCCAGATACTTATATATAGAATGACAGATAAATTTCAATGTACATTTGAAAGATGCGTGCAGATAACTTGGGATGAGTACTCGTTCACTATGTCGAAGCCTCTTTACAATGTACGTTGTTGTATCGATCTATTTTAATGAACAAATACACTTGCCATTCATAGAGCTATGGCGAATATCGGGCATTTACAATAAGAATAATCATAAAAGACAGTTTAGACGCACAAAGAAACATGTTAAAAGTTTTTAAATATCCCCATATCTTGAACGAAATTTATCGACAATTTGTCTGAAAGGAACGTTTTGATGGGTTCGGAACATGTGAGGGACCGGTTTAAACAAAACGTTAGACCTGATAGTCTATGTTGAATCTTGGTCATATCACAATAATTTAATCATTTTTGAATTCATATTATTCTATTATGTGGATAGCGTTCTTTTTTATACACCAGAGATTAAACATTAATTTTATCGGTTAAATACTCGACTTTGTCTTTTGCCAAAACCGCAAAACATTATCAAATCTCCAGTTCTATATTGCTAAAACCCAAATACACTGTTTCCTTAATTATACCAGACGATAATGAGGCAGATTCCGATGTAAAGATGCCGATGATATTAAAACTGAAAATTAAAAAAACTTCAAAACGAAACAAACCAAAATCAACAAGATAACAACAGCATCAAAGAGAATTTTTAAAACAAATTGTAGAATATCAATACCGAAATCAATACAAAATCAAAGAAAGTATCAACATCAACGTCCATAAATTTAAGAAAAGTGAAAAATGTAACATTAAGAGGTTTGAAACAAGAAGTTTTCACACAAAGAAGAATAAACGTTTACTTACCTATGTTCCCGCTTGACAGCGTCCCTTTATAGTTGCTATGCCGTAGAATAGGAGAAGGATTTATAGAAGTTGAGCTTGTATCTGAGTCAAATTTAGAAGTGACTGTTCTTTTACATGTATAGTGTGATGTATGAGTGGTATAAAAATTCACATTAATTTATGTTACAGACTGTAATTTTCAGCGACGTCATTTAACGACCTATGATTTCACTATCAATTTCGTTTCCATGTTTGTAATGTTCAAAGTTTTAATTAATCATCACAAACAACTAAAACTAGAGATGCTCCCGAGAATGACATTTTTAAAAAGTATTTATGTTATTCTAATAATGTAACTTTCTTTTCATTTAGATTAGTAGGCGTCACAGGCTTATTTTGCTGTGGATTTACATCCTCATGAAACATGTTGACGTAGACCTTCTATATAATCAGTGCTCAAAGGTCAGACAACCAAACATGTCAACATACTCTTTACCTGTTTACTGCATAGTTATTTCCATTTGTGTTTTGTCCAGATCATTCTTCTTTCAATATTTGAACTATTTTCATCTCTGATTTACTTATAATCGTTAGAGAAGGAAATGTGAAATTAAAACTGTACCCTTCCAAATACTACAAGGAAAATACAGGCATATTAACAAAGTCTTAATTTAAAAGTCTCTTGAAATATACAGGAAGAATAAGACCATGTTTTTCGGATGGGTGAGAGGCTGCTGCTTCATCGACGACATCCGCCATACAGTTATAGCATAATGTTGTTCTTATCCATGCAATAAACTGGTCAATCTTTGGCCTAGAATTTATATTCTTGGAACACACATCATAAAAATGTAAGTTGGGGAAATGTTCCAACCCATTTTCCTATGTGGCAAATTACCTTGTGTCATAATTAACACAACCAACTCGAGATTCAGCTTGACACTATATCATTTCTGAAATGTTACTTTTTTGTACATTTTTATAAAGTTGTCTTCATCATGAAAGACTTAGTATCGTTAAGGTAGTTATAAATATTACAAATATTAAAGATACTTTATGTTAAAAGCGTTATACAATAAGTAAATGAACTTAATATACAGTTTATTTGCATGTTTACGTCCCCTTTGCAGCAACCGTAGTTCTACCTCAAGCAAAATATTTTTTAAACGTAATTTTTTTGATAAATGAAAAAATGAATGACATTTGATATTTAAAAAAATGCCGTCTCTTCCAGGCGTTACGTATAAATACGCCTCACGACAGAAAAAATTAAGTGAACTGATACTCTAGGGGCACGCTATTATTTCACTTAAACTGCATGATTATGTCATTTGAGACTGCAAATAGTCACATCAAGCCGAGCATGACCATGCCCCCTCCTTGTTTATCCTGAGAGTGACGACAGATGTCATTGTTAAAATGGGACTCAAAGGTTATTTAAAGAACATTTTTTTCATTTTTTTTATATTTTTTCATCAATTATGTGTATGAAGATTTAATGTCTCATTCATAATGGTATTTTTATCATAGCGAAAAGTGGCAAGCATATGTAGTTTCAAGGTCCACTGTATCTACCTCAGTTATTAAATGTCATCATCCGAGAAACAAATGTAGAAATGACAATTAAATACTTTTACCGGATTCAGGATTATTGAACAACGTTTATAACATTCCTAAGTGTTTGATAAAAATAATATGTTTATACAAATTTACACAAATGGAATGACGCCCTCCTACGGGAGGACAGCTTATCGTTTGTAGCTGAATAGTTTGAAAAGATATATTATATAAGAAAGATATGGCTGTTAAATCAGTTTACTCGATGTGTATCATAACTTGGAGCTGGTGATTAGATTTAGAATTTTGAGGACTGTAAATAGATATGATTGGAAGTTCCAGACAGATTAACGTCTTCTGTTTCACCATCAACTCCCGCCATGTTATTCTAAGTTGAGGCAAAGTTAATACAGCGGAAGTGATGAAGATACCAATAGACATACAGGCATTGAACACATCGAGTATCAATAGATAAAATATATTGAGATCTTAATTGTGCAAACATCATTTAGGTAATGTTATTAATATCATACGGTGCACATTCGACTGAAAATATATTTCATACGATCACCTTATCATAAAGAAAAACCTGTGTTCAAATTTTTAAACCACTATCTGTCAATCGCTCTGCGTCCATGATACATCGTCCGTCCGTCCGTCCGTAAACAATAGATCTTTCTTAACTTTCATATCTAGGTTTCCCTTGATCCCTAGTTGTGCCCATTAGATTTTGGGACTGATCAGAAAAACTAAATGGCCGACAGTCAGCCATCTTCAATTTTGACTCGACAAGATTATAATCGCCATTTCTTAAGGCGTACTGAATGGATATATCTCAAATTTCATACTTTCAAACAGCATATATAGATCAAACGATGGCGGGCGCCTAGATCCCTCTGGGATCTCTTGTTTACTTTCGTAGTTAAGAAGCTGTCTTTAAATTTGGTTATAACGTCTGCAAAATCTTTCCAAAACCAAATACTGAAATCAAATGTAGTAAACTCATTGTCAATGACAACAAACAAGTAGCTTTACAGATGGAAGCGAATAAATTTGTGTGTAAAACTTGTTTTAAGAGGTAAAAGGTAATTCACTACCTATGAATAACATGGGATCTCTCCACTTTTTACTGTATAGAATAGTCTTTCATCATTCATGTTATAATATACAAAATTATTGGTTTGTTTCAGACCAGCCTTGGCTCGTCCTGCCTGGTTTAATACTGTGTGGAATGGCTGGTCACTCTTTTGTGATTTCAAACTTGCAGGTAAGAACTCCTAACAGTCATTTAATGATAGTTTAAACGCTTTGTTTATCTTAATCAAACAATATCAGATCAGAGTATTCTGTTATCTTTGTATGTACAAGTGATATGAACTTAATTATATTTTATTAGGGATTCATGAAAGACTCATTATTACTGAGTTTTCACAATAAAGAATTGTCAGATTGACGTCGATTGTTGTGACTTTTTACCTGACAAGACTGTAGTTTTGAATAGGTCACTTAACATAGGTTTATATCAGCTTACACGGTTCACTGCTTAGACTCTACCACAAAGTTGTAACTGAATAGCGATTTATAAGAAACAAACTAACATCGAGTAAAAGTTTTAAATATCCAACGTTTCAATAAAAGTGGTGAAATCAAACGTAGTAGTAATCGCCGTTATTATTCGTCAAAACTAAAATGTTATCTCAACGCCAGTACTGAATTAAAATCCATATATCATCAATATGATGATAGTAAGTGTTTATTGATTTAAAAACTGGTGTTTCACATACAAGAATTTATCAAATGTCTATATTTCATTATACTAGATATCCTACATTTTGCCTTGTGGATCCTCCTTGTATGTTGGTGTTTTAGCTGGTTGTTTTGAATCTTCAGTTTTCACACTGATGGTAGTTAAGGTCAGTATGTATATATATATATATAGTACATCAAAAAAGTAATCGATAACTGTAATCAAACATATTATTTTGCTGTGTGTAATGCCTTTATTGTTGACTTATTAACAGCGGTCGAGGAGTATTTCAAAGCAAGAATTCATTATTTTCCAAATCAGGAAGATAGTTCGTCAAACAAACAATTTTTTGTTATACCCTGTAGATTCAGTTCTTATATATTTATATAGAGAAAGAAATGTCAAAAGGTTAACCGTTTTGTTCACCGGTCCAAATGGACTGTTAAAATCGACTGTTGACCTCTTTACGGAAACATACGAGTTCGCCCGAGTGATATTCAACTATGTTGCTATATTAACATAGTTGAATAAATTGTTACAGATTTGAAATATGGTTTCTGTTGTAGTACTTTTGTGTCATCTTTGTGAAGGATATAACAAAAAAATTGTTGGCCTCGAGGTCCGACAGATCATCTGTTGCCCTCAACCCAAGTCAATAACTGTATACTATGCACTTACGGTATTTTTCCCATAAAATACAATTAGAAAATCATCGCCGAAATGTTAAACTGATTTTACTTCACTATTATACCTTTTCAAAGAAAGTTTAATTGTAAATATTTTGACATTAAATAAAGTGGGTTTATAGGTTAGAAGGAATTCGAAAGCTTAAGAACTGAAATACCGTTATGTTGAATCCACAATTTAAGATTTACATAATACGTATGTTATTGTGCCTGCAGATAAGCAGTTAATAATGGTATCCTTGTCTGCACACATCGTTACATTTCCTGTATACAAAAAGTTCTGGGCTTGCATGATGACGAAGGGGACCTAACCTATACACCTGTGCACACGATGCGTGTTCTACCGCACTAATGTGTGATCGTGGTTCATATAAATTAAGAGATGACCTCGTGGGAAAGGGTTTAATGATAAATATTTGTATATGTTAAGCCATGTATCTATAGGTCGGACACATGCACATGTAGATCTATCAAATTAATGGTGCTTGTTACAATGTGCCACTGGTGACCGATCTTAGTCTAAAGACACGTAATTATATATCATATACATGTAGACTTTAACAAGATCATGTAAAAGCTCATACCTTCTAAAAGCACATATGGTTTGCATTACTTCTGTGAACTCTGATCACTTTGCAAGGGCAAAATATATACTTAAGCTAATTTTAATTGCTGTTTGTTACATCTCAGGCCCTGGCGGAACTTACCTGCCACGTACATACTTGTATATAGATTACTTCTATTGCCTAGGGCAGAGACGCCACTCTCTGAGGTATAGAACTATACACTAGGGAGACTCATTAACGCACGTGCGTTTGTATTTCTAAGTCAAATTACCTTGGTAATAATCTATCAGTATCTGATACGTAATGGTTGTTTTTTATCATCACGGCGCGAGTTTTCCTTTTTGCATTTATTTTTCAATACGTAATATTAATTAACAAATTTGACCAAAACACACAAAATCTGCGTTCTTATCACACAGTTGTGCGATAGCTACTGTATCATGTATGAGATGTGCTCATGATGTGCACATGGACTTTTTGGTGCTTGTTCGGTGCCGCAACTGTATATATTTCTTTTTAGTATTTGAAGTTGGACGTGTTTGATGCTATATGGATTTTCTTATTTTTTGCATGGTGGGTAACGTCGATGAAGCAGAAGACTTACTCTTTCGGAATTAACAGGTTTTATTCTCCTGGTACTTCTTCGGGAGTCTTCGTGTAAATCCTTCTTTTCAGTTTTCCCCTAATGTTATTGAATGTTTTTCGTTGGTTATGATTATGTTCACATGTTAGTATACTGTTTTTGTATTGAACGATGCTATTCACCTGTGTGTCTTTTCTACAATTATTGAGATTGTTGATAGTAGACACTGCGGACGGATTTAAATCCCACGAAGTTTGTCAGAACCTGTATGTCTCCATTTTAATAATTCTAATAGTGTTCAGAAAAAACACATGAACTTGAAATTCATTTGAAAGTGAGATACATGATCACGAAAAAAACGAAAACACTCCCTTCCTTCACAATCAATTCATCTGTGCAAAGTGTCGATTTTTGGCTTTGTATTGACCCGACGGCTTTGTGAGCCATAGGGGACATAGGAGAACACTCTGATACACTCAAATTATGTATGATGAAAACTCAACCATATTGCTCAAGCGCGCAAAACACCAATTCATTTTTAATCACAAGCTGTGTTGTCCTTCGACGTAATGTATTGGTTTACATCATCTCATAGGGAAGACTTTAACTCTAACGTTGATATCCGCATCGATGACTAAATATGTTGACTTCCCAGTAACCTTCCAGATCAAAGGAAATCATCAATGACCTTTTTGAAATATCATATATATTATCAAATAATAGGTCTTCTTTCACTCTGTGTTTCTCCCCTCTGAATGATTGTAAAGCCTGGGCTTTTTTTATTGTTCATCCTCTATGAGCACTGGTATTCACACTCCAAACTACGAGGATGCACTACTGTTGTTTTGGCTAAAACTGCAGACAGACATATCATGGAATTAGTCTTCAACTCTTTTTAACATGTCAATTTCCAGGATATCGAAAACATTTCATTTCATAGTATAAGCATTAGAAATAACCATCGTTCCTTTGTTACTTTGACTGCAATAGAAAGTTGTTTTTTATTACCCTCAGAAAATTTCGCTTAATGTAAATGGAGGTGTTCTTTTCATAATCCTTCTCATCTTTTATCTCCTGTTTCAGATGTACTAAAACCTATTGACTCCTTGCTTTGCATATTTGATGTATAATATGTTATTATCAGCATTTCCATATTTAGTTTTCTATACTAAATGATGAAATGATACCATAGCATTTTCACCCAAACCGTATATTTTGTTTCATTTTTGGCACAAAAAGGGCGCTATATTTTTGTATAAGGACATGTTCGAACTTAAATACCTATTTGTAAATGTGCGACTAATGAGCCTACCAGTGGCACATACAAACTGTTGTATTTGCTTCTGAGACCATTTTGAAACCCCACCTTTAGACCCTTAGAATCACAGACAAGTCAAAGAAGGACTTTGGTATTTATTTCTGTGTAGTTCTTACAATCACAGATGTAATTAATGTACAGGTTTTCTCTGAAAAGAGGACGTCCTCTCTGCCCGACTTTGTATACAAAATACAAAATTGTCTTAACCATAACTATTTCAGAAGTTGTACGAGAATGGCATCAAACGGATATTTTCTTGCACTGGTCTTTCGGTACTCTACGTCGTCATATCCGGTGTATGCACCTTACTACATCCATCAAATGAAAAGTCGGAGAGGACCTCAGAAACATCAAAAGGTTCCGTCAACCATTCGTTTAGACCAGAAGGTTCTACAGACGGTATTGTAAATGACTACGGTGCGATAGTAAAACCTGAAGATCATGACAACAACTACACAGGAACAGCAGATGACGGTGAACTTGCTGCTGATTCCTTTCGACCGAACGGCAATGGTACTGAACTTGCAGCTGGACGCCATGACTATGACGTGCACGCCAATGAATTGAAAGAAGTGGAAATGCAAGCGAACAATGACAGCAAAGGACGTGGTCGAAAATCAGAAGTAGGAACTGCGTCTTGTGCAAGCGTGGAGCAAGGTATTCCTTTCATGAATCTCTATTAGAAATATCATAATAATCATAATGTAAAACTTCATCATTTACAAAATGGAACGAAATCAATCTGTCAGTATTGAAAAATCTATTTAGTTGAATTTCATAATTGTCTCGGGATGCTTTGTTGTAGAGGCCGAACATGGCAAAATTATTAAACCCAAGGACGACGTCAAGGCAGTGAAATTAAGACGAATACTTTGTTCGCGCATGCTTCTGTCTCACCTGGCCTGGACGAGTGCTACAGCTTTGAGATATTACTACTTCATCGGATCAGTCAATAGGTTTCTTGAGATAAATGTAGAGAGCGAAAACCAGGGTAATAGTCATACAATGCCTATGTTTAGTAAACACACCATCATCATTATCAAATGTCGGGCGTTTTTTACTACTTTGAAATATAATTGTAATTTTAGAACAAAAACAATAAATTAATAACGTCAATTGAACTATAACCCACATAAAAGGCACTTCATGACGTCATGAACAATAGAGCGGCCCCAAATATCAACGTTATCTCTCCTATATAGATGGTAAAGAAATTCTATAACGAGGGAAACCTTAATAGCAAGGGACTGATAGCACTAACATATTCCATTGTCAAATGTTAAATATTCATTGTCTAAATTATATTTGATGAACGCAAATATCGAAATTTTCCCATCCCAATGTAACATAAGATGACGATATTTCATTATTTGCTATTCACTTAGCTCAAGTTAAAAGTATACATGAATTCAATAAGACCAGTGCGATACTTTAGGTGATGTCATAGCGTATAATACTTGAAGGAAAGGATGGAAGAAAATTGAGATGGGAAATTGGTTGATGCTCGATTTTTGATTTTTAAAACACAAACCATTGAAATGACCATTTTTGCTGTGTTTTTGCTGTATATCCCTTTTTTATTCTCGAATTTTGAATTTTGGTTTGTTTTAAGTGTTGTCCTAATTGCATTGCTTATTCATAGTGTTGTACGTCCAGATATCATGTTTACTTAATCTCTCTCTCTCTCTCTCTCTCTCTCTCTCTCTCTCTCTCTCTCTCTCTCTCTCTCTCTCTCTCTCTCTCTCTCTCTCTCTCTCTCTCTCTCTCTCTCTCTCTCTCTCTCTCTCGTGTTTGTGTTTGAAATAAAACCACGCTATGATTGTGATTTTCCGCAGTTAGCTATTTCCTAGATGTAATGTCTTACACCATGCTTGGAGGTTTCCTGTCATCTTTCATCGCTGGAACTGCATTACAGATACAACACAGGTGGTTTACAGGTAAGTGAAAGGCAAAAACTTTCATTCTTTGTCCCTTATTATCATTTTCGCTTTTTTTATCCTTTTTTAATTTTCCGTTTGAAAAATTGCATTCATGTAGTTTCCTTGGTGTGTTAATAGTATTTATATATATTTTTTAGTACAATGCTAAAAATATCAACATGTCAATGTAATCATAAACAAAACTCAAAGTCAATAAAACGGCAAAATAGGAACAAAAGATAGCTTTAAACGGAGACACCTGAAAAAGGACACGGGGAATTGGACCAAGTGTTCCGGAAGGGTAAGCGTTATCAAACATTTCTCACAAGCGATTTTGATTTTAAATGGCGAAGATGTCAGCCCCGCTCCTACTAAATCTATACTGGAAATGTCATCGGTATTTATATTATTATTTGTCATCTGACTTTGAACTTTTATTTTTCGACTTAGGACCCATGAGGCTTGTAATTCCCATGACGGTGACATCGTTCTTGAGTATTTTGTTGTCGAGTCTTGCCTTTGTGTCTACAACAGCTGTGTATTATGCAGATTTTGTCGTAGTGACAAGTATACGGTCCTTCGTCAATTGCGTTAGTTTTGATTTCATAAGAAGCGCGTAAGTATGACCAAGCTGTATTGTTGGATAAAAATTAACAAAAAACAAAAAAAAAAACACATAAAAGATAAATAAAAACGACTGTATGCTCGATGCAATCACATGTTCTTTTATTTCATAGCTAAATGGAGATAAATTATTTTTAAGAATACATTGCTTCTTTGATATCCATTCTTGTGTATCGTTCATATCACTAAGGATATAGAAAGAACTTGTATGAAGTTTCAATAGTATTGCGACGGACCAGAATAATTTGCAGGTTTGTTTTATGATTTCTTACTATGTGTGGCATGTATTCGTCGTGAATATAAGAGATATATTCACGGATCTACTCCATATTCAGTATAGTATATCATATACAAGACTGATTTTATCTCAGTCTAAACAGTTTGTCGTGCTCATGGTCCAATTTTCGCACAGTTCATCCCCGATACTCCAATGGTTACGATCATTTTCGCTCTCTACACTAATGGAGCCTGTCGTGGCAAAATTGATGGTTCCGTGTCCGACACCTTGTGGACAATACAAAAAGGTCTTCTTTTATCTTTTGATGTACATCAAACAAATCTCGAGGTCGCATAACAGTATATTGTAATGGCTTTGAAGTGAGTTGTCGTTCTTTTGTAATATTCAAAATGATCATATCAGCTTATGATTGGTCAGGGTTTTTTCCTTGAAGTGATCAAATGGCTTCGATTGTGCCTCCAAATTACAATGACATGTTCCAGGAGTGTAGAGTGCGAAACTGATTGTAACCCTTGAAGTATCAAGGATGGTTACAGTTTGGATATTATTATTATTATTGGTTTTTTTTAAATTTTTTTTTTTTTTTTGTGAAAACAGATTCCCTGAAAGGTATATGAGTATCATCTATGGTATTGTTCTATCAGTTACTGGAACTTTCAACTTGACTCAGTACGCCTTGTTTGCGTGGACGGAAGTGTATAGTGATGCAATGACGCACGTAAGATATGTTATTGATTTAAGGGGCACTTTATAGATTTAAAATACATACATTGTTTGATTTAAGCGGCACTTTACAGGTTAAAAATACCTGCATTATGTTTGATTTAAGCGACAAAGTTAAAATCATATCATTATTGAGTGAAGCGACTCTACAAGTGTGAAATATTTTCTTATTGATTTTTGAAGGTGAAATTCTGCATCATTCTTTAGTTAAGCAACATTTTACACGTTGCTATAATTAGAACATCCATCACATATACAGTAGACGTGTCGATGTTTTGAAAAAAATGATTTCGAGACAAATAATGACTTCATTTTCTTTACAAATGGAAGGACTGTACAATCACTTTGGCTGAATAACTCAATGAAATTAGAGTCATCCGAACTCAAAATATAAAGATATAGAAGGGAAACATCGGGAGTTTGAAATTATTTCGACTCGAACGATTTCGCGACTTTAAGTTTCAACTGTATATATATATAACTAAAGTGTACAACAAAATCGCAATGAATTATTCCTCAATAAATACTAAAAGGAGGGAACTGCTGTTGGATGTAATGTGATCATTCGGATAATTTTGTTTGGTTCTAATTATTTACAGTTAAATATGAATAGGGCGTCTAAAGTTAATTTTAAGTAACATCTCAATACGATAATTCCTCTTATGTACAGTAAAACCTGTATGTGACGTCAGTAAAATATCAATATATGACGTTTTCTATTTATTTTGTAAAACTTCAACATGACGTCCTCTGTTTATTTACAGTCAACCTCAATATGAAGTCTTCTGTTTGTATATTGTAAAACTTCAACATGACGTCCTCTGTTTATTCACAGTAAACTTCAATATGGCGTCCTCTGTTTATTCACAGTAAACTTCAATATGGCGTCCTCTGTTTATTCACAGTAAACTTCAATATGGCGTCCTCTGTTTATTCACAGTAAACTTCAATATGATGTCTTCTGTTTTTTACAGTTAAACTTTAATACAGTACTATTTTGACAAATATTCTAACACATTTCCTTTCGTTACCAGGTAAACATATGTCTCCTCTGTTTGTCCATCATCTCACTGCTACATCCGATTCAGATCTATTGTTTTGAAAGACGAATCCTGAAAAACGAAAATGACAAGTAAAACTATCAGTTGGAGGACCGGGTCTACTTTGGAAATGTTCTAGATAACCTTAAAACTACAACTGAATGGAGCAGTCTCCGTTTTGTAGTTAAGGTCGATGCATTCGAAGAGGAAGCTTCAAGAACACATATAACACGAGTTTATAAAATTCTGTAATCAACTTTACATATTTAGATTTAAGAACAAATATACGTTGTGCTTTGATAGGAAAGACAAATATAATATTAACTGAATTGAGTTAGTGGTTTCTATTGGCACAATATACCATCTAGAATTAAGAAAATGTTTGTGAAAAAATGTTCATTCAATTTTTTTTGTTTTAATTAGTTCACCAATACTTTTGATGAAAAGAATAGAACTTGTTGATACATAGGCAGGTAGAAAAGTTACGAGTGCTATCGAACTAGTGAAATATAAACCTACTAAACGTTTTTCTGGGATAATTATCAGATAAATGATGGGGAAAATGAAAAATAATAATTCTGGTTGATAATTTTTTTTTGATGATAATATCATTAAATCTTTTCAATATTCAGATCTGCCTAATCACGGAACCAAACATTTGCTATGAAATGCTGAGATAAGATCAAATGATTACATAACCAAATGAGCAAATCAATTATTAAGTATTAATTCTGTAGTCTGTATATTGAAGTCCGTTTGTGATTGACATTGGTTGATAAGAACTAAGAATTTTATGGAAGAATTACTTCTTTATGTTTGCCAAATGTTTGGAGGAGATTGCTTGAACTATGCCGATTATTATTGTAAATATTAGTATTAGCATTATGTTACAAATGTATATAGCCTTATGTCAGTGTAACAAGATTTAATGTAAGCTCTAATTTCTGATATACAAAGGAACGTTTCTATGCCATTTGACCTTAACTAGTAAACAAAACCTTAAAACGAACGTATGCACAATACTCAGACATCTAGTGCAGATACAAAAAATGTTAAAATTTTATTCTAAATTAAAGTACAAGTCATTCATCTCAATCCAGACTGCAGTTTGCAGTAAACAATGCTATAAAAAGGGCAAACTAAACAATAAACAAAAACTGTTAAGGATAATGAACTGAGACATATGATCGTTGAATGTCGTTTGAAAGTCAATCCAGTGACATTGTAACCAGATGAGGATGACCTCAATACCAATACACGTGACACAGTCACATTGTAACTAGCTGAGGATGAGCTCCATACTTAGATGCACCTGTCACAGTCACATTGTAACCAGCTGAGGATGAGCTCCATACTTAGATACACCTGTCACAGTCACATTGTAACCAGCTGAGGATGAGCTCCATACTTAGATACACGTGACACAATCGCAGTGTAACCAGCTGAGGGTGAGCTCCATACTTAGATACACGTGACACAATCACAGTGTAACCAGCTGAGGATGAGCTCCATACTTAGGTACACGTGTCATAGTGTAACCAGCTGAGGATGAGCTCCTTACTAAGATACAGGTGTTGCAGTCCATAATATATGTAGGCAGATACTCTACCTCTATATCTAAAATGCCATATCTAAATTATTTCATACACATTATAGTATAGGTGTATTATGAATATGATTCAAATAACATAATTGTATATGCCAACTTAGGACAGAATCTCAGGTACAAACTATGCCTAGTTCTATAGGGTTGGCACATTGATATCCATGTACCTTAAAATATATCAAAATAAAATTGTAAAAGGATTATCTTTTTTCAAATATATATAAAATTATAGAATCCATATACAACACATTTGGTGTAGAGGTACAATATCAGTTTCTGATTACTCAGTCTACATATCTGAGACTGAAAAATCGCCATTTGCCCCATATCTATGATTGACTTATGAGCGGATATAAAGAAACTGCTAATGAATGCTTTGGAGTTGCTTTCAGCGCCTATCTTCATTTCCATTTTGACACGAAAAATATGAGGTAATCGATATGATATGGTTAAAGATATATACTTACGTTTCAGTTGTGTGGAAAATCATGACTTTCGACAGAATAGGGTATTGTGGTGCCTGTTTTATCCCCCTTTCACGCAGGGTATCAATTTTGGTACACGCACCTTGTTTGATACCGGAAATGACGACATCTCATATTCACCGTTCTGTTAATGAATACACGCGCTCTTCAAGCCCAACCAACACACGTAGAGGAAGTACTTGATCACCATTTGTCAAAATAAAACAATTATTTGGGAATTCATCCACGGCAAACGAAATATTAAGGTAAAACATTAAGTATCGTCACGTTTAAAATTAGATGTATCCACATCCCTTTTCCCCCCCTCTGTTTTTGCTTTTAATCCTATGAAATTAAAAACTCTTTTGAAACGTAGCGATATTATTGTTACAAATAAGCATAAGCGAATATTTTGCTTGGAATGGAAGCTGAAATCGACATTGTTACCGTGTCAGAAACACGGAGGAATAACTCTGTCGTGTCTTTATAACTGAACTCTTTCCAACGCAATATGCTTATTTGAAAGAGAAAATATGTTTCATTCATAGTTAATATTCATATGAATATTTATTAAATCCATTATTAAATTAGAGCGCAGACATCATTTGAATGCTTAGCTGATCAACAGTTAGAATATTATGACGTCCCAAATCACGAATGACATACTATAAGCTGATGAAGCGAAATCTGGATGTTTGAGACTGGTTACATCAGTAAATGGAGAACGATCAGCTCAATGAAGTTACATGAGATATCTTCGGTCAAAAGCACATCATGAATTGCCAGGTTCAAGCTTAAAATCTGCATTTGAGGTACAGAAGATATCCCTTTTTGTCTACGATGTATCTTTGTTGGCATTCGCGTAAACCACACGCGCTGCGTAATAATCTTCATGATTGGCTCAGACTTGCTCGTGCCGTTCTGGGTTACCTACGACGCTGGTATATAAAGCAATGAAGTAAATGGCCAAAACAAATCCCATTTGAACGTTGACCATTCATGTAGACTTGGCCAAACGCAAATGGTAAGAGAACAGAGTTGTCAAACTTCAATAACCCCCTTAGTCGCTCATCGTTCCCAATAACGGATCCCGAATGGACCAAGGGAAGCAACTCGTATAAATATGTATATATTGTTGACGAATTGTCTTACAATACCAATAATTATTAACCACGTCCATCGCATATACCTACCATTTGATTTGGGAAATTAAAGACATGAAAAACGCTTCAAGATTAGCCGCTTATTTCGATCTTTTCCTCCAACGAAACCAACATGGACAGCTTTCCGTTGTTATATAACCATGTTCTCATTTGAGAACGTGACCTTACCTACATGGATTGACCAAGATTTGCATGGCAGGTGTCATCGATGATGCAGAAGATGTTTACACTTGGTCTTATTGTACTTGTGGGGTTTTTTTTCGGGAATTTCCGTGTAAATCTTTCTTTTGTTCATATTTGCTATAATTTTATCAAATTTGAGTTTTTCTTATGATTATGTTGACGTGTTGGAATTTTCTTTTTTTCTTAGAGTAGAAGCTATAAAAGATTGAGATGTGCTTCCTTAGTAACATCGAACCTAGGGTCTTCCGATTCGAAGAATTTGTGAAGGATGGAGTAGTGTAGATACATGACGCCTAAACTCGTCTCGTGGGAATTTACTCAAAGGTTTTATTTTTATTTATAAATGACATACAAAGATAATTCAATGTTTTCAATATGTAAAGTGGAACAACTAATTTGACAATGTGCTGTAATCGTTTCGATTTTAATTCTATGTCAAAAATTATGACGTTTTAATGGTCACGTGATGGGTGTTACATTGTTGTATTTTGTATATAGACAAAATTGAGTGGCCTTTGACAACGTAAACTATTTATCCTGTAAGATCTATTTAAAATTTGGATGGTGGAAACTTAAACATTTAGTTTTTTTTACAATTTTCGTATACCTGACGTTGACGTTACGTTGAATCGTTTGAACCAAACTAATTGGTGCACGCGGATATGCTGTTCTAAAATTCAACAGATATATCAGCTATTTTATCAGTTTCTTAATATAATCTTGTTTGTTACCACAAATAAAATCGTTTAGTAAATCATTAAGTAATTATGTCGAGTTAACGATAGTGCTGAAATACAGCTGTTTTCCAACCCTACCGAATTGCACCAAAAATGTCTGTCCCAGGTGTATTCTAACGATGGTAGCACCAATTGCAGGACAAGAAACATGAAGTATCTCATACACACGCAAACGCAAATCATTTTAATCAATAAAATATTGATACATGATACCAGATATTTCATGTGGTAGTTTTTAACTTGTTAAATTCTAAAAAGATTTAATCTAAAAATTGAAATTTGATTGTTCTTTCATTTTACGCTGAATATTATATTACATGAGGAAATCACCCGGAAATCATTTATAAAAAAATCGAGAGTATATATAGAGTAATTCAAATAAAGATGACAATGAAGCGTGGCCGTCACATATATTTTATTTCAATTTCGAATTCTACAGACCCGGAGGTCCACTTACAGAATGGATAACAAATATAACACAAGAATAAATATCACAGTTATATGAAACATAGAACTATTAAATGTACAAAATATGGAACTATCGGTAAATGGCATTCATGAGTCGTGTTTTAAATGTGGTGAGAGACAAATAAAACAAATCACAGTCTGAAAAAGACCAAGAGAGTTAAAGTTTGACTGAGTTCTGTTTAAAACACTGGCAGTAAAATTGAATTGAACGAGTAGATCGTAGATTACGACCAGGTACTAAAAAACACATCAGCTTGAGTAAATATGGACAATCAAAAACACTATTTACACATTTGAAAAGAAATACACTGTCTAAAAATAATCGTCTATGTTCCAAGCTGGGGAGATTAAAATACTTACAAGTTTCAGCGTAAGACAATGAATTGAAGTCAACATGTGCCTTAAAACATAAAAATCTCTAAACCTTTCACTGAAATGGCAATGGATACTGTAATAATGCTTGCATTTGTTGCTG